AAACATGCTAATTTCTCTTAAGCTTCCCTCTGACTTTTATCGTTCGTTGCTGCTGCTCTCCTCTGAATTCTCTGCAGTTTCTTTATGTCCCTTTAAAAATGTGGTGTCCAGCAATGAAATCAGTGTTCTAACAGAGATCCAACTAACACAGAGCAGGTTGCTTCCTCTATATGTAATATACTGATTATTACAGCCCACTATACACATAGTCTTATTTACAACAGCATCACATTGCTGACTCCTTTCTAAACTAAGGTGAACAGATTTTCTTCTACACTGCCAGGGAACAGAGTCAGACCCAGGCCAGAAGCATGTACTCTTACATTTCTGCATGTGACCCTTTTCCTGTTTCTTCTTCATTAACCAATTCAGTGCTGCCAGGCTGTAGAGGTGAGCTGAAGGTCATAGACTTTGATCGGTTGCACTTCGTACCTGGTACTTTTTCTGCATCCCCTACTGTGAGAGGAGGAAAACACAGACTCTGCTGAGAATTTTTTCCATTTGTCAGTCAATGGTAATGAGGAAATATTTAAAGCTAGTTTAAATTATTACCTGTATGCTGGGCTGAACTATCCAGTTACAATGATTATCTTTTAGTTACAAAAACAATTAGCAGGCAAGCAGCACTGTTTTGATAGAAGGAAAAATACAACCTTAAAGCTGCTTTGAATTTTGAAATATGTTATTTAACCGGAATCAAATACTGTAATTCTTTTGTCAGTCCCCACTGGTAACCACTGAATACTTAGTCAGAGTGTTGTAAGACCCGTCATTCATGCCAATGAGCAATTTTTAATAATGTTTTAAAGAAACAGATGTTCTCTACAAATCTTATGGCAGAAGAACACTTTATTTTGGGTACCTCCAAAACAAGCCATGTTAATATGGGCACTTAGATGCACATCTAATGGACTGGATGGATTACATTCTCTTCCAGGTCTGTCAGCAATTGCATGACAGCATTTCTCAAATACAGTCACCGTGGCTGCATGCGGCTTTTCTTGCAGCCACAGTCTCCCGGGCTGTGATGGGAGGAGGGAGGGTCAAAGTAGTGGCCCCTCTCTGCTGCTCCTGGATGCACCACCTTGGTGTTGGTTGCTGGGTCCACCAGCAGGGGTCGGACCCTGCCCCCTTCTGGAGACACCTGGGGTACAGCACCAGAGAAGCAGGCAGCCAGTGAGTTCTCCAACATCCCAGGGGCAGGGGAGCTCAGACTTTGGGCTTCAGCCCTCGGGTGGCGGCGTGACAGGCTCCAGCTGCATAACTTCAGGCTCTATCCCCAGGCTCCATCCCCCGACCGGAGGGCTTCGGGCTCTGACCATGAGACTTCAGGCTCCAGTTCCCCACTGCCTCCCCTTAATCCCCATCCAGGGCTTAATTTGTCTGTAGGCTTGCCAGGGCTGAGTAAGTCTGCTGTGAAAAGTGATACTTGTATGTTTGTTAATAACACTTTTCACAGCAGACTTACTAGCTAGCAATAAATAAATTACAATGATTTGAATGTGTATATGTGCATGTGCATATTTATTTCTTTTTTCCTAAAGCTAATTAAGTATTTTAGGAAAAAGTGTGAAAGTGGCCACCAGCAAGAGTTGATGGCTGCATTCTGGGGCCATCAAAAAATTTGTCCTGAGAACCTGACCTAGATCTACTGTGCATATACTTGACTCAATGACAGAGATGGGAACAGAACCTAGGAATTCTAGCTCCTACCTCTCTGCTCTGATCACTAGACCACAGCCACGTTTTTTTCTGGGGAACAACAATGCTGCTTGGATAACTAAAATAAACTACAAGTTAAAATGCCTACAGGATATAATGAGTGCACATTTTGATGAATATATTATGGACTCACAAATGTCACACAACTGACTGCATTCCTTTCAGCCCCTCTTACAACATTCCAGAACACAGTGCTAATACATCTGGTTACAAGGTGGATGACTACCATACCATCAGCTTGTTTTAGTAAACTAAGTTGCTTCAAAATTTTAAATTAAGGGGGAGAAAAACAGTAGGATAAGGAAAGAAGCAAAGAGTATAAGGAAATATCCTTATTTTGCTTATATTCTTACAGTAGATATTTTGTACAAGAAATACTCTGTATACTAAAACTAGACCCATCCCCTCCCCACAGCACACACTCATTGCGCTGGAAGAAGCGGTCAATAAACACAAAATTTTCCACAGAATTATACAGAAACATTTGTGCTAAATACTTTTGTGCTAAGCACTGTGAAAACTCATAGTGTTCAATATCTCACACAGAGTATCTGTAGTAGGCCTAGGAATTGAACATTACATTGTGGTTCAAAGCATGAAAGGATACTGCTTCTCTGCATCCTTAAGGATTTATTTTATATTTCCTCCAGATAGAATGAACCTGAGCTTCTTTATATAGCAATGTAGATTTCTTTGATTCTTCATTAACATTAAAACATTCAAAAAGTGAGAAAAATAAGGTTTCAGCTCCCTGAGGGCTACAGGTGTGATTGTGAGAACACACAAAGCCAGGTGCCTCTGGTCTTTCTATGTTTGCATTCTAAACTAGCCCATCAGGACACGGACTGTCTTGGTATTGGTAACTTGTAAAGAGCACATTGTTGGCACTTAGCAAAATTAAACAACAATACACGAAAGCACTTAAGTAGCTGCTTAACTTTAAGCATATATTTAAGTCCCAATTTCAATAGGACTTAAGCATGTGATTAAAATCAAACACAAGTATGAGTGCTTTGCTGAATAGGGATGGTTTCCTGATTCAAGACTATAACTAATAAGGATTTTTTTTAAAATTCTTGTGAAGGGAGAACGCTGCAGTAATGACACAGTTAGCTGTGCCATTGCCAGGAAATGTTACCTCCAGTTTTTGTGTTAGTAAAAGTGTTCCCAATGGAGCTGTAATTTAGGTATCATATTGAGGGTTTTTTTCAGGGTAACGGATCAATTAACTTGGGTGACACTGATAAGGCTATCTTTGAGACTGGGCATTTCCTGTACTCATTATAAATGCATTATTAACATTGTACAGATGGCAGATTAGGTCATAGAGGTGACACAATAAGTCACAGAGGTAGGGGAATAGGACTGTTTTTAAAATATTTCATAGAACCCAATTTCATAGTATTCCTGGTGGAGAGGACCACACAGACAACATGCTGCAAGTGAATCTACATGCAGACAAGTCCGAGTTCATAAGAATGACAGGTTTCTTACCTGAATATTTTCTTTCTTTCTGTTAGCAGTGTCTCTGAGTTCATTACTAATGGGTTAATGCCCCCCCCCCATGGAATTTGGAGGTGATCTAATGTTGCTGGAGAGTCCAGGACTAAGCTCTGGCCACTAGAAGAGTCTTTCCACAGCTGTAGGAACACTGCATTAACCAATTATTAGCACTAAGACAAATCGATATAAGGTATGAAACTAACCTTAAGACAATATAAGTTTAAGTCTCCCTTTAGAGAAAAATGTCAATGTCTGTACTGGTCTGTATAGGCTACCAGTGTGGGTTGAATTTGGAGAGAAGCTGCTAACAAAGAAAATTATCAGATAAGAAATTTCTCATTCTGTTGCACAGCTTCTCTCCTCATTCATCACTAATGGGGAGTAGCGAGCACTGAGTCACAGTGGGGTGGCGGGGAAAGGATAAGCAGAGATAAATTATTATAGCAAAATAATAGGCAGGAATAAAAGTTTTCCCCCATATAAAGCAAGAGTTTTATAAACTAAGGAATTATGTGGGAACCAACCCAGTAGCACCTTCTTAGCAAAGGATGCCCCTGCAGAGAAACAAAAACTTACTTTGCAAATCTTCCTTAGATGAGGCTCATACACGTTCCCCGCAGTGACTCTACGGACTGCTGTGAATAATTTCCCAGGTGCCTAACATGCCAACTGGTGTAGGATTTTTACATCGTGCCTGCAGCAACTTTGAGGCTCTAAGGCTCTGGCATTTTGGATTGAATGAAATGAACAGAGTACAACTGGGGTATGTATGATATGATATATCTTCAGAGCTCTAGGAATTCCCATTTATGGCACAACCTTCCAAGGGTTAGAACCATATTATAGGAGAGCTTACCTTGAACAACAGAAAAGTTTTTGAAGCTATAAGAATAACTTTTTCCTCATGACAAAGACAGAGTGCTTCTTGTAATGACACAGGAACTAATTCCAAAACTTGCCTTTTGGAGGTAATGGCGATGAGAAAGGCCAGGCACAGGCTTGTCTAATCTGTCACTCTGATTAAACCTGGCATTTGATACTCACATAGAGAATCCAATGTGCCTGTCTTCAAAATATCACTGTGGCTAGTACTCACATTTATAAGGTGCATAGATGTAGGACTCCAACCAAGCCTCCTGGAGAAACTCTAATGTGAACGAGATCACCAGAACTTTGGGATTATTACTACATTTGTATTACAATAGCACCTAGAGGTCAGGGCCCCATTGGGCTGGGTATTGCATAAACAAAATGCAATCCGTGCCCCCAAAGAGCTTTCTGTTTCCCCTCACACCAGAAATGTAAATTTGATCAGATCAATGAATGAAATATCCTGATTGAGTTTTGTTTGGGTACCTCACTATATCAGAGGTTAATGGAGAATCCATGCTGAACTACACTTCTCTTCCGATGTCCAGGTTGTTAAGTGTAGGTGTTCACAGTTTGAGTGAAGGAGTTCCTGCTTCAGGAAGTCTTGTATTTTCTGAAGGTACAAAATGCCTTCTAGGCTAGTGGAGGACAAGAAGGAGAACTTAAACTCTCCCCTTTCCATTTTTCTGTATCCTTTATGAGAACTGTCCTGAAAGGCAGGAGATTCTTCTCTACCCAGGACATTATTTCTATTGCCATGGAGAAGCTTTGACCTCTGGTTACTCCCTGGTTTTAGAAGGGATATAAACATTCATGCCTGAATCATAAGACAACCGCTACTGGGAGGTAGGAGGAGACTTCCTCTGCAAGTATTTTAATTGCCTACTTCATAGTTCTTGCACATTCTACTGATGCAGCTGGCACTGGTTACTGTCATCGAAAAGATATCGAACTTGAAGGACCACTTCTCCAATCCCATATGGCCATGTTTGTGGAGTTTGCTTATTTTTCCCTTTAAGACACACTCTGGTAGAGGTATCAAAATCAATTAAAATGATGTGTACCATGAGATTTTGAACATTTGTCTTCCAAGTATGCTAGTTTCCAAAGTGAATACACAAAGATCTAGAGTGAACATTGGGCTCACTTTCAGCATGTTGTTTGTACTTACCTGACCATAAAGTGGAATTCAGAGGCAACCTGAGAATGGCACCTAAATTTTGATTGCATCAAGTGCATATTTCTGTGTCCTCAGAAGGAATTTCTGCAGGTGTATTTTGAGAAACCTCCTTGAGATGCACCAGCAATCCTAGCCATTGGAGATAATTGGCTACTGATGACCCCTCAGGAAATTACTTATGCAATGATGGATCTCTGCAAATCTTTACCATTATGGTCAAATTATGGCCAGAACCATGTCTGTTTTGACCTCTGGGTGAGCTATTCTCTGCATTGATATCAAAAGTTTTTCTTGATTTTGACGAACTGGTGGCTATGAATCCTTTCCAGCAACTGTCCAGTTATGAATAGGTTTGTTTCTCTGGGCAGGGTACTTATCCACATGTTGTCTTTGCATGGTGTAGGTGTGTAGCGTGTGACCTGTGCCTTGCTGTGACTGCTAGCAGCCACTGATATTGCAGAGGTCAGATCAGAAGGAAGAGTCTTGTACAAGAATTGTGAGCTCTCTTACACAAATATTCCATTTGTCTTTGAAATGCTGAGGATTGGAGGAAATTTCATCTAGGTTTCCTTGGAAGCTTCTGCTCCAGATTTTTCCTCTCTACCAGGTGATAGTACCTTCTTGAATACCCAGGGTGTTGGCAGCTACCAATGGATTGCTATGCTAGCTTTGATAATGAGGGTTGAGGCCTCTCTGCAATCTCAGCTACTAAACTCTCTAATGTTTCCTCCTATAGCTCCACACCTGTAAGTTTGGAGGCACAAGATACCTGTTTAGAATGATCAATGGCTATTCATGCGTGTAACATGGCTTCCTTGTAGCCACCAGCTTAGAATCCATTGCTCATCACAAATCACGTCATTGGTTTGACCAAGGCAGCACCTGAGACATCTCACTCCAAGTAAGGATCATACCCCGAGATGAGGAGCAGTTTGTTTACCATGAAGGAGGCTTTCCTTACTATATATATATATATATATGAAAAACTTTGTCCTGAATAGCTTCTAGAGCTGAGGCTTTGAAATTGCTGTGCAGTGTGTCATCATTCTTATGGTGTATGGCAGGGACATGCTGACCGCCGCTTCCTGCAGCTCCCATTGGCCGGGAACACAGAACTGTGGCCACTGGGAGCTGCAGGGGGCAGTGCCTGTGGACCATCAACATCAGCAAAATGTTTCGTGGCCTGCAATCAGATTATCCTGATGGGCTGCATGAGGCCCGCAGGTTGCCCACCACTGGTCTATGGGGTATTTTGAAAGGAAATCGCCTTCTGAAGGTCTGACTGTGTCTTTCATTGGGGGAGAGGGGACCATGGCTGCACCAACCTTAGGCTCCCCACATTTATAGAATTTCTTTGTTTTTATATAAACATTTCAGTTTAATATTTGGTTAAATCAGACATCCTCATCTGGATCTTATGAGGCTCTGAAAGGAGGCATCATTGGGAAACCATGTAGACTTAAGCCAGCTGTTTGCAGGACAACTCTTCCATGCCTGAGTTGGGGCAGAGAATTCAGACAGGAAGGTGCTGCAGCAGTAAATCCAAGAAGCCACCATGCTGCTCTTTACCTGATCCATGAGGGGAGGAAGAGGAGGAGGAAGAAGATTATAAGTCATAACTGCACAAAAACAATTACAAATAGAGGTTTTAAAACAAAATGTTTGGGAGAAACTGAGCCAGCAATTGGTTCTACCACCAGAGGCAGAAAACCTGGTGGCCTGGGCTTGAGGGCAGAGCTTAATCCTGGAGCCTCCAACGATAGCCCTGGACTGTCTCCGACATCCATAGATGAAGGTATTGACCCATCAGTAATGAATGAGGGGGAAAGCTGCGTAACAGAATACAAGCATACTAGCGAGGTGATATCCTACCATCCTCTGGTTATGAAAAGGACATTGAGTACACAATGCTGAGGAAGATAAAAAGGCAAGAAAATTGAATAAAATGATAATAATGGGTGACTTCAGCATCCCTCATATCACTGGTTAAATGTCACAGAAGGACACATCTTCTGTCTTACTTAGCATGTTCATTCATTGACATTTAAGTGCCTAGGTACTGATCTGAGAATCCCCGCACAAGGACTGGGAGTCTCATTTTGATGCCCACATTCAAAACTTGGGTTCCCAATAACTTTCCAAATCCAAGTCTTCATGTTATTCTCCTACAGATTCGCAGAAGAGGCTTTTGTTCACCTACTGTTCTTCACTCGGGCCAGGTCACATTCTCACTCCTTGCCTGTAGACTTTTGCCCCACAATGGAGGGGACAATACAAACAGCAGTAGGTACTACCTGAACACTTAGCTGTGAGTGAATACGTGATGTCCCACCCTTTCATATCCGCCCTAGCTGTGGACATCAGAAGCAGTGTTGCCCCATCTTTATCCTCAAACCCCTCTCCTATAATTCAGAGACAGTGGAAAGCTAGATATCTGGTGTCAGTGTATTTTAGCTGGTAGTGCACATTCTAAGGCTGCATATTTTATTTTCCAATCTCTACACAGTAGGACTATTTTACTATACATATTTACTATATTTACTATATATACAGCCCTCATTTCTGTTTGTGTATGCTTCAGACTGTGACCAAAAAAGTGGGCATGTTCCTAATTTACCTGTGAAAAACCCAGATTGGCACATACAACTTGGGTAGGCCATTGACTCACAGCCTCATTTCAATGCATTAATAACTGACTATGTTTGTGTAAAATAGCTGCCCACCCACTTTATTAAGTGCAATCAGTTCCTCAGGGAAAAGAGAGTGTGCAAAAATGAAAATGTTGCCCCGAATGCTCCCAACAACCCAACTAACGAATCGTTGATGTAACACAATTTATTCTTCTTGAATATACCATAGGGGAAAACATCAGCATGGTCACTCATATGATTTCCCACTTACCAGTTAAGGACCGGTGCAGTTTAGGCTTTGTGTCAGATCCATGATGTGCAGAATAGGAGTCATCCTTCTGTGATTATGAAAGAAAGTAGGTTAGGACTTTTATGGGAGATAGCCTGTAAGTCTATAAATGACACTCATATTTCATACACAAGCCATTCACGATCCCCATGCACTCTGTTTCCATTTGTTTTAATTTTGCCAAGAGAATACAAGAAAAACAAAAAGAAATGCTTCTAAAAATAGATTAAATACCCAGCATAGATTTCTGGGAGGAAATGTTTACCGACACTTATTTGTTTCATGTTGATGAAAGTGGTCTGAACTCTCAGGGAGCGATTTAGCAGATACGATCTGAAAGCAGCAGATCTGGAGCGATGAGGACCCAGCCAAGTGACTGAACAGAAACTTGGCAAGGCCACATACATTTATTCCCTGGCTTTATGCCAAGTAGCCAGTGGAAAGCTTGCTAGGTAGCGAGCTCATGCTAATGAGTGCTCTCCCCTTTTGCTTCAGCACTAATCTGCACTCCTCAGGAATTTCTATTAGCACAATGTAGCTAGAATTCTTTGGTATTGTTTTAACAGGAAATACGTCCTTTATGCAGCCATGATTTGGCTTGTAGGTCCAGAAACCCATGCTGCCAAATCACTTCTGGCCACCTCCCAGACCAGTTTTCTGTTTTGTTTCCCTTCTTTTTTCCCTTTAACCAGGGGACCTGATGCCCTCAATCCATTGTTTGCAGTTTTGTTGACTATTTTAGTAACAATGCCTTCCAGGGTTGAACAGCAGTGGCCTAGCTCCCTGGAAAGCCATCCCCAAGAGCATCCAAGGACTCTCAGAGCATGCTCCATGCAGTCCCTCTGACACAATTACTAAAGGCAATATGTAATTTATGGCCATGCCTTACAGGCAGCTCCAAATAAGCCATTTAAAGGGGAGAGGGGACTAGATGTGTGTTGGCAAAAGAACAGAGGGAAGAGCGAGTGCAAATTTCCAGGGCTACAGGTGCAAGTGTTTTCTGGGTGCTGAATAATAATTAGGTGTTGTACTAAGGCTCTGAAACCACAACACCTATGAGATTTTGGGTTGGATCATATCCCAGACGTGTAGTACAAAGAAACCCAAAACATGCACAGTAATATAGAGCGTGCATTGTGATAAATATCTACAGCAAACGGTAATAGGAAACCTTATCCCTGAATGGTCAGCCCTCTTCAATGATTCTGTCCCCTGAGAGAGGGGGAAACTAAGACCTGAAATTGAACTTTTTTGAGAAGAAGGATGGTCTTGGGGTTAAGCCTCTGAACTAGCCCTCAAGAAATCTGGGTTAAATTCTTAGCTCTGCCACAGATGGCCTATGTAACCTCGGGTAAATCAGTTAATCTCTCTGTGCCTCCGTTCCTCACCTGTGAAAATGGGATAGTTACATTTCCTTTCTTCATCTGACTGGCCTATTTAGACTGTAAGCTCTCCAGGGCAGGGACTCTTATATATATGTGTATAGTATAAGTAGAGTGACCAGCACAATGGGGCCTGGCTCATTAGCTGTTACTGTAGAACTACTCGAATTAAAAAAACAAAGCTGGTAAAAACTTTTTGCATGAAAAGTGTTTTGCAAGGGGAAAAATGGCCTTTACAAAAAACATGTCAACATTACTGACATTTTACATGAAAATTTCCATGATATTTTAACCAAAATGTTTCCAAAATTTTTTAATGAAATCTATACAGACATTTTTGTTTACTGAAATCCACATTTTGTTATTGAAAACTGGGCTTTTGGTAAATGAAAATTTTTGAAAATGATTTTAAATACTATTGTCATAAAAATATATATATTTTTAAATCAGAAAAAAAAACAGAAAATGGGTCAATTTCGAACCCTGTGAAATAGACACCTTTGAAAATTTTCATTAAATCATTCACCTGTTTTTTATCCAGCTCTAATGAGTAATAACTTTTAAATGCATCTGCCTTTTATTTTTTCCTGAAAAAAGGTGCTAAGTGGTTGAAGAATCAGGCCCCTAAGTTGTTAAAAGAGTTGAGATATGATTCAAAGTAAATTTTCCCTAGTTGGATTCCTCTGCTACATCAGGCAACATTTTTCTACTAGACTGTAAATGTAAGACGACATGCAAATTCCACCAGCACTGGATGTGTTAGCGTGATCCCTTGTACCTTGCTCCTACTTCCCTCTTAATTCTTCAGATTCTTGCTATCAGTCAGAGGGTATATACAAAGCAAGTTTGTTTCAGGTTTCTTTTATTTCAGGTTTGGTCGGTGAGTATAATTGTAATAGTTCCATCTTGTGGTAAAATGCAGAATAGAATACTGCATGGAACAAGAGCACATACTTTTCTCTGGTATAATGGTCTATATCTGTCTCAAATAAAATCCTGAGGGTCAAATTCTTCCCTGGAATCCACATAAAGCAGAGTATGTGACCCTTAATTACACTTTAGTGCTCAAAAGTTCCTAGTTAGAGTTCTACAGGGTTTTCAATAATGAATCCTTTCTTCAGGAATATGGACTGTGTGTATCAACTAGGGTAAAAAAGCCTAAATGACATAATATGAAAATATTTGGCTTTTTAAATCTATTTTTATCAATGCATTTTTAATTTAATCCAACAAAAAATATGCATTTGTATGCAATCAAATGCTATAATTTGTCACTCCATATCCTTCTGAGTTACTACACTGAGACTCTTTTAGAACACATACGAGACATCTTCCTAGAATTTTCAGACATTAATCACATTTCTTTCATTTCTGTTTGCTGTAAAAATGACATCAGAAAATTACCAAGAAAAGGTCCTGATTGTGCAAACACCTAGATGAGTAGTCCCACTGACTGCAAAGGATTTCTCTAGTGTGTAAAGTTACTCACATGTGTGTTTCTAGGATCAGGGCCTAAGTATTTATATTTGTAGCACCAAAACATGGTGACATGACAGTCACTTCAAGCATAAAATTAACATTTTGTTAACTTTAACTTTGTTAAATACCAGTTAACTTTCAGACAGTTTCATATTACAATTAACATAATGTAAAGATACGTGTTGCAGTGCTACAGGCTACACTGAAGTGTGCTAACTATGTCCTCTGTCCAGTAATGAACTCTATCTGCACAAATCCCATTGCAGGATCAGTGCCTTGACTGTATCATGGCGTACCTACTTCCTTCACAAGTTTGCAAAGTGAGCATGAATACAGTACAAGTCATTTTGCTGACTCTACCCATCACTTACTCACCAGATACAACACAAATGTTCTGGCTTTTGCTCCCTTTACTAAAGGACATAACAGAGTTCAGTCACCTTAAAGGCCCAATAGAATTATTTAGGGAAAGAATCTTCCCAAGTTTAATATCATGTGCACTGCACTATCTAACAGGCACAACAAAGGATGTCTATGATGGTGTGAAAGGGTTAATCCCTGAATGTCCTTACTTAAAATATGTAATCTTGCTCACAACATTAGCATTAGTTTAACGTAGCTCTTTTTAAATTTAATTATATCAAATGTTCTACAAGAACATGCCATGTTGTCGTCTATTTTGAATTATAAGTATCAATCAGCATGTAAATGATCAAATTAAATCTTTTCAGTTGTTTGCTTCTACAGCTGAAACACCTTTCTGTGAATGAAGGACTGGAAGTAGAGGCATTTGTTAGATTACTTGATATCTTGATTAGCTCTTCAGTGACTGGATTTTCAACAAAGAAATCTGAGGGGAATAAAGCTCATGGTGGTTTAGGGCTTCCTATGTTGTAAGGGAAATCACTAGCTAAATAAACATTAATCATTTAAATACCATACTTTTCTCCTCTGTTCATACACATTAGGAGCCACAGTTTGCCCTTGGACATTTGACAGCAATTCTGCAAAGCATTTAAGCATGTGCTTAAATCCCACTGAGCACATGCTAAAGTGCTTTTTTCAGTAGATATGGACCACTGAATTGGGGATTTGGAAGCTAAATATTTTGGGCTTGATCTTGCTCGCTTGCTTGAAGTCAATATAAGTAATGGATGCCATCAAGTAGTCACAGGTATTTGAATCATGCACAGTAACTAATAGTCAAAGTGAAATAGTTTGTCAGTTTCTTTTTTAATTCAGAATATGATGGGTCATTAAGTTATGCCAATAGTAAATCTGGCTCTAAAGTGGGCCTCTTAGGAATTAGGTATACTATAGTCCTTTTGATTTGTTTTTATTTCTTGAAGGCGTCTCAAAACTGTAACTAGTTTAAAAAATAATGTCAACATTGTGATATAAAAGCCTTACAAAAATGGCTCTGTCTTTCTGAAAAAGTTGTAAAAAAAATATATTTACAATACATCTGGTTTGATGACAACTTGTGTCCCCAAGTTTCCGCCTGTTATGAAACCCTACCAGAACTCCTCCCCACATGAAAAACAGGCCCTTATAACAGAAAAACCAAGTGTCAATTCATTAAAACTGCTAAGTAAATAACTGCCCTAACACTGATAGAATATCTGATAACTGTGAGCTGAACTGTGCGGTATGAAGGACTACTGCTCATTTATTTGCCAGGGATCGGAATTTTTCAGGTAACACTAACAGTTTCGTACTCACTAATATTCAGATGAAGGTTAATAGACACTTTTATTAAAAGGTACCAGAATCTCTTTTCTTTAAAATAACAACTTTCTGGAGTTTGGTGATAACATGTGTTAGTATGAGACTCCTCACCACTGAATAGACAAGAGTGTGAAAAGGAATCATGCATCATGCTTCTTTACAATTAAAAGATTTCCCAGCCCTCCATACCTCCTTTCTAGAGTGATCAGAGTCACTTCTGTTCATATGGATTCGAAGGCTCCTGTGTCTGAGAATCAGGATCTCCTTTGCCTCCTCTTCTGTCCCACTCTCTCCAGGAAGCGTATGCCTGTTATATGCTGGCACCTGCTCACATAAATCATAAATCATACAGATCCAGCTCCCACTGAAGTCAATGGGAGTTTTTCCATTTAATGGGCTTTGGATCAGCCCCATATGTAGCATCACAAAAATAAATTTCCCGGGTGTCAACTTTTATGGGCAAATTCTGCTCTCACTTCCCCTGGTGTAGACCTGGAGTATCTCCATTGGCTACACTGGACATACTCCAGCTTCAGACTGATAGCAATAACCAGACCTTGATTCTTTTGCGCCCACTTTTTAAAGAGTTTCCCCAAAAGTCTTATCTTGTTGCCTCTTTCAGCACAGCAGCAAGACAAAAGGTGGTAGCTCTGTGCCAAGATGCCCATATTAGCCACATTCCTAATGATTTGGCATTTCATGCCTAAGCCAAGAAAGCAAAGGCTTTAGTTGCATTTAAGAGATAAGGCTCCACATACCACCATATAAACAGTGCTTAGTATAGTATAGTATAGTATAGTATAGTATAGTATAGTATAGTGCAATTGTTCTGCAAACAGCAGGATTTCCTATGCTCCCAATGGTAAATGTTTCATGGCAAAACTGTTGAATGGCTTTAAAACATCTTTCCTTTAATTATTACTATAGGGTCACACATCTGCTGCTGCTATTGGCCAAGCTCTTTGCACACACCAGGGGCTCCCTGCATCACTGCAATTCCCTCTCCCCCAACAATGTGTATCACCCTCCCATCCTCTTCTCTTTCAGGGACTCCCCAACTCGCCACCTTCTCCCTCCATTGCCCCCTCCCCAACCAGGGGTTCTGTGTGGCCCCCTATTTTCCCCTCTCCCTATGCCAGGAGCTCTGTGTGCTCCTCCATTGCCCCCTTTGCCATATGCCAAGGGCTATGTGTCCCCCATGCCCTCCTTCCCCCATACCACAGTCTCCTACCCCCTGCCAGGGGCTCTGCATGCACACACAATCCCTCTTCCCCCCAACCATTCTCTCTCTCTCTTTCAAGGTGTCAACATTTTAAAATTGTATGGGGAGGATGGACAGAGCTAAAGTTACCACGTTACAGACAGACAAACAGAGGAATGCCAGCAAGTTGAGTGTTAGTCTTCACTTTACTTAGCCAACTATTTGCTCTCCATCGAGGGAGACCTTTAGTAGCACATCTAAATAATCCCAATATCTGTGCATGCTGCTGAGAATCAGACTAATAATATTTTACAATTCATGTAACTACTGTACTGTAGCTTGAGTGGAAAAACCTTACTGTTCTCCTTATTTTGTATAGGTTCCTTGCCAATATTTTCTGTATATTTTCCAGCACATCTGGATTCAGAGAGTCCGATTCTTTGACCATTACGGCAGACCTGTGGCTGTCGCTGCAAAGAAAACACCTGGGTTCTTCATCAATGCGTAGTGCATGAGATCAATTGCAAAGGCACTTAATGAAGCTGAAGTTACAATCAGCAGCTTGTTTGCTGAGTAGATAGACTAATACAAGGAGATTGGATTGTGAATAGCAAGAACCACAGAAGAGCAGAAATGTCAGGGGGAGATGGGATCAGAGTCTAGTTACTTTAATTTCTGACATAATTGCCCAAACTTGCCATTATTTTCTCCATAATTTTTGAATGATTTTAAAGTTTGCCACCAAATGCGTGTAAGTGTTGACTGTTCAGGTACGACCGCAACACGACTCGCTGGGAGTTACACACATACCGCTGCCAGGAGCAGAGACTGCGAGCTAAGCTCCTCTGGCACTGCAATGGGGTTGTTCACCAAAAGCATTTTCTTTACATCTGTCTGGGCTACACCAGCTCTTCTCACGGAGCAACCAGAAAGGAGGGGCGAAGGGGTCAGGGAACTCTGCCAGGTTTCCAAGTAACTGTTCCCTCCAGGGGGGTGGGCTGTGTGAGTGCAGATTCCCAACCCCACAGATCCTGAGTATCCACTGGGAAGGGAAGGTTAGTCCTTGTCTAATGGATGCAGAGGCATCTGCATGGAAATATGGTCAACCTGGCCCCCTTATCATCTGCTCACAAGCTGTGCTGCTTAGTCACTGTGCAGCTGCTGCAGCTGCAAAAGGTTGAGCTGCAGGCAATGCTGCTTTAAGATTTGATATGTGTGAGGGTTCCTTGCCCACGTCCCATTCCCTGCCTCCAGGTTATGGCCAACCTCTTTCCTCCTCCACACCCGTAAGCGAGATTAACTGTCTGTGTTAACACCCCAAGCAGACAACAAATCAGACCTGGTGACCCAGCTACTCCAAATCATACGACAATTTCCATTTCAATTAGGATTTTAAAGGGGTCTGATATAAAGTTATTGTACAACCATTACGTGCCAGGGGATTGGCTAGCACTCTAATCTTTCAAGGGCCCAGTCACACAGTATGGATAAACCAAATATGGATTGACTGAACCTGGTTCAAATGGTTAAACAAGAAAAAGTCAACAAAATTTAACAATTTTAAAAAATATTTCTTTTAGTCATTTATATTTTACCTAATGTCACAAACATGCTAATGTCTGTGTTACAAGCAGGGTCACAGTGCGCCTGCAGTCAGGATTCCCAAGCAGGGAATCAACCTCCCATCAGCCTTTCTGAAGTACTTTGTGTCATTACACCAGGCTAGGAAAACACTTACAGCAAAGATGTATGGGACGGCTCATGAATTAACTGCCCTGCTTCTACTAACTCAATGGCATGTTTCCTCTCTAGCTTTTCGTAGAGCAGCACAATACTTGATTTTGGCTGGTCATACTCTCGGAGTAAGAACTTCTGAAGATACTTGCTGTTGAAATATTCCAGTCTGTTCAGGAACAAAAAACAAACAAACACTGCTGTACTGATACTGTAATGCTCATGACTTGAAGAAAACAAACATAAAACATTGCTGTGCTGAACCTGTAATGCTCTTTGTTTGAACAAAATTGCACTGTCTCATTCTTTCCTCCCCAGGACCCAGAACTGGTTCTGGCAGATTGGCTGTTGTTCCTTTAGACATCTGCTTTCCAGCAACTAGTGGGTCAAGAGCCCGGTCCTGCCCACCTTGCTTTGTGGGTGTGCAAAGAACACAGGGTTATGTTCTATATTAATTCCATAATGTGGCACATGAAGCAAGTTAGAGCTTCTCAGAATGCAATTTGTTATGCAATAAAATGCCTCCAAAGGGCCAAAATGATCATGAACTACATTACCTTTGCATATTACATTAGATCAAACAGAAGTGCCTGGGATCAAACCAGCAGCTTCCAGAATCCCGTCTCAAAGCAGCTCCCAGCTCAGTGGTTGAAGGAGATCTAGTTCACTTCACATACCAGTACAGATACTCAAGTTTGGCCATTGTTTGGCCCCATATGTCTCTCTCTAGCCAGCAATTTAGCCTAGGTGCTACACTCATAAGGAGCCAGTCCTGAGTTGCTTAGTAGACAGTGTTTTCAACACCATCTAGTGGTCATTCCAAAAACAGTCATTCTTAACAAAAGAAGTAAACTAGGTTCGACGGGGACAGGTGAGCAAAGCCCGCAGGTAAGTGGGGAACATGGAGACCTGGGAGATGGGTCGGAAATGAGAGGGAGTGTGGGCTATATTGGCAGAGAAAAAGGAGGGTCAGGACAAAACTGGGAGGAAAGATCAAACCAGTATCTTAGATGCCTATATACAAATGCGAGAAGTATGGATAATAAGCAGGAAGAACTGGAAGTGCTAATAAATAAATACAACTATGACATTGTTGGCATCACTGAAACTTGGTGGGATAATACACATGATTGGAATGTTGGTGTGGATGGATACAGCTTGCTCAGGAAGGATAGACAGGGGAGAAAGGGAGGAGGTGTTGCCTTATATATTAAAAATGTACACACTTGGACTGAGGTAGAGATGGACATAGGAGATGGAAGTGTTGAGAGTCTCTGGGTTAGGCTAAAAGGGATAAAAAACAAGGGTGATGTCATGCTAGGAGTCTACTACAGGCCACCTAACCAGGTAGAAGAGGTGGATGAGGCTTTTTTTAAACAACTAACAAAATCATCCAAAGCCCAAGATTTGGTGGTGATGGGGGACTTCAACTATCCGGATATATGTTGGGAAAATAACACAGCGGGGCACAGACTATCCAACAAATTCTTGGACTGCATTGCAGACAACTTTTTATTTCAGAAGGTTGAAAAAGCTACTGGGGGGAAGCTGTTCTAGACTTGATTTTAACAAATAGGGAGGAACTCGTTGAGAATTTGAAAGTAGAAGGCAGCTTGGGTGAAAGTGATCATGAAATCATAGAGTTTGCAATTCTAAGGAAGGGTAGAAGGGAGAACAGCAAAATAGAGACAATGGATTTCAGGAAGGCGGATTTTGGTAAGCTCAGAGAGCTGATAGGTAAGGTCCCATGGGAATCAAGACTGAGGGGAAAAACAACTGAGGAGAGTTGGCAGTTTTTCAAAGGGACACTATTAAGGGCTCAAAAACAAGCTATTCCGCTGGTTAGGAAAGATAGAAAATGTGGCAAAAGACCACCTTGGCTTAACCACGAGATCTTGCATGATCTAAAAAATAAAAAGGAGTCATATAAAAAATGGAAACTAGGACAGATTACAAAGGATGAATATAGGCAAACAACACAGGAATGCAGGGGCAAGATTAGAAAGGCAAAGGCACAAAATGAGCTCAAACTAGCTATGGGAATAAAGGGGAACAAGAAGACTTTTTATCAATACATTAGAAGGAAGAGGAAGACCAAAGACAGGGTAGGCCCACTGCTTAGTGAAGAGGGAGAAACAGTAACAGGAAACTTGGAAATGGCAGAGATGCTTAATGACTTCTTTGTTTCGGTCTTCACCGAGAAGTCTGAAGGAATGCCTAACATAGTGAATGCTAATGGGAAGGGGGTAGGTTTAGCAGATAAAATAAAAAAAGAACAAGTTAAAAATCACTTAGAAAAGTTAGATGCCTGCAAGTCACCAGGGCCTGATGAAATGCATCCTAGAATACTCAAGGAGCTAATAGAGGAGGTATCTGAGCCTCTAGCTATTATCTTTGGAAAATCATGGGAGACGGGAGAGATTCCAGAAGACTGGAAAAGGGCAAATATAGTGCCCATCTATAAAAAGGGAAATAAAAACAACCCAGGAAACTACAGACCAGTTAGTTTAACTTCTGTGCCAGGGAAGATAATGGAGCAAGTAATTAAGGAAATCATCTGCAAACGCTTGGAAGGTGGTAAGGTGATAGGGAACAGCCAGCATGGATTTGTAAAGAACAAATCATGTCAAACCAATCTGATAGCTTTCTTCGATAGGATAACGAGTCTTGTGGATAAGGGAGAAGCTGTGGATGTGGTATACCTAGACTTTAGTAAGGCATTTGATACGGTCTCGCACGATATTCTTATCGACAAACTAGGCAAATACAATTTAGATGGGGCTACTATAAGGTGGGTGCATAACTGGCTGGATAACCGTACTCAGAGAGTTGTTATTAATGGTTCCCAATCCTGCTGGAAAGGCATAACGAGTGGGGTTCCGCAGGGGTCTGTTTTGGGACCGGCTCTGTTCAATATCTTCATTAACGACTTAGATATTGGCATAGAAAGTACGCTTATTAAGTTTGCGGATGATACCAAACTGGGAGGGATTGCAACTGCTTTGGAGGACAGGGTCATAATTCAAAATGATCTGGACAAATTGGAGAAATGGTCTGAGTTAAACAGGATGAAGTTTAACAAAGACAAATGCAAAGTGCTCCACTTAGGAAGAAAAAATCAGTTTCACACATACAGAATGGGAAGAGACTGTCTAGGAAGGAGTACGGCAGAAAGGGATCTAGGGGTTATAGTGGACCACAAGCTAAATATGAGTCAACAGTGTGATGCTGTTGCAAAAAAAGCAAACACGATTCTGGGATGTATTAACAGGTGTGTTGTTAGCAAGACACGTGAAGTCATTCTTCCGCTCTACTCTGCTCTGGTTAGGCCTCAGCTGGAGTATTGTGTCCAGTTCTGGGCACCGCATTTCAAGAAAGATGTGGAGAAATTGGAAAGGGTCCAGAGAAGAGCAACAAGAATGATTAAAGGTCTGGAGAACATGACCTATGAAGGAAGGCTGAAAGAATTGGGTTTGTTTAGTTTGGAAAAGAGAAGACTGAGAGGGGACATGATAGCAGTTTTCAGGTATCTAAAAGGGTGTCATAAGGAGGAGGGAGAAAACTTGTTCACCTTAGCCTCTGAGGATAGAACAAGAAGCAATGGGCTTAAACTGCAGCAAGGGAGGTCTAGGTTGGACATTAGGAAAAAGTTCCTAACTGTCAGGGTGGTTAAACACTGGAATAAATTGCCTAGGGAGGTTGTGGAATCTCCATCTCTGGAGATATTTAAGAGTAGGTTAGATAAATGTCTATCAGGGATGGTCTAGACAGTATTTGGTCCTGCCATGCGGGCAGAGGACTGGACTCGATGACCTCTCGAGGTCCCTTCCAGTCCTAGAATCTATGAAAAAGTATCTGTCAGATTACACATACAAGAATCCTTACCATGAAATCAGGTGTGCATGTTTGTAGAGCAAATAGTAAAAGATGGTAGATTATTACCAGTGCACTTTAAAGGTCTTTTTCTTTACAAAAACAAAATTCACATGTAAATACAATTTACCTCATATTTAATGAAAATTTGGCATTTTGTTATGAAAATCTCAGTGGATGGTCCATTATTTTTCAATACCTCAACGTAACACAACAGTCTTCAATCAATGTTCCAACCAGCATTGATCTTATGTTATTGACAAGAAAAACAAGGGAAAGCTACATTTTCATAGTCACAACCCTTCACTGATCTAAACACAAGGATGACTTACAGCAGAAACTGGCAGGAAAGAGAAGAGTTGGACAAGCGAAAGGAAGGAGGAGTAAATATAATTAAACCTTAAATGTAAAGAACAGCTGTAGGTTCAACAAATGCAACTGTACAGATTCCTAATATGAAATGATAAAAGATAAGTGATAACAAATAACAAACAATGCTAATAATTAGGGCTGTCGATTAATGGCAGTTAACTCACGTGATTAACTCAAAAAAATTAATCGCGATTAATCGCACTGTTAAACAACAGAATACCAATTGAAATTTATTCAATATTTTTGGATGTTTTTCTATATTTTCAAATATATTGATTTCTAGTACAACACAGAATACAGAGTTTACAGTGCTCACTTTATATTATTATTTTTGATTGCAAATATTTGCACTGTAAAAATGATAAACAAAAAATAGTATTTTTCAATTCAACTAATACAAGTACTGTAGTGCAATCTCTTTATAATGAAAGTGCAACTTACAAATGTAGAATATGTTTTATTACATAACTGCACTCAAAACCAAAACAATGTAAAACTTTAGAGCCTACTAGTCCACTCAGTCCTACTTCTTGTTCAGCCAATCACTAAGACAAACAAGTTTGTTTACATTTACGGGAGATAATGCTGCCCACTTCTTACAATGTCACCTGAAAGTGAGACTAGGTATTCGCATGGCACTTTTGTAGCCAGTGTTGCAAGGTATTTACGTGCCAGATATACTAAACATTTGTATGCCCCTTCATGCTTCGGCCATCATTCCAGAGGACATGCTTCCATGCTGATGATGCTTGTTAAAAAAATAATGCATTAATTAAATTTGTGACTGAACTCCCTGGGGGGAGAATTGTATGTCTCCAGTTCTGTTTTACCTGCAATCTGCCATATATTTCATGTTAAAGCAGTCTCGGATGATGACCCAGCACATGTTCGTTTTAAGAACACTTTCACAGCAGATTTGGCAAAACGCAAAGAAATGTGAGATTTCTAAAGATAGCTACAGCATTCAACCCAAGGTTTAAGAATCTGAAGTGCCTTCCAAAATCTGAGAGGGATGAGGTGTGGAGCATGCTTTCACAAATCTTAAAAGAGCAACACTCCGATGCGGAAACTACAGAACCTGAACCACCAAAAAAGAAAATCAACTTTCTTCTGGTGGCATCTCACTCAGATGATGAAAATGAACATGTGTCGGTCCACTCTGCTTTGGATCCTTATCTTGCAGAACCCATCATCAGCATGGACGCACATCCTCTGGAATGGTGGTTGAAGTATGAAGGGTTTGTCTGAATCTTTAGCGCATCTTGCACTTAAATACCTTGAGACGCCAGTTACAACAGTGCCATGCACATGCCTGTTCTCACTTTCAGGTGACACTATAAACAAGAAGCGGGCAGCATTATCTCCTGCAAATTGTAACCAAACTCGTTTGTCTGAGCAATTGGCTGAAGTAGGACTGAGTGGACTTGTAGGCGCTAAATTTTTTTTGTTTTTTTATTTTTGAATGCAGTTTTTTTTTACATAATTCTACATTTGTAAATTCAACTTTCATGATAAAGAGATTACATTACAGTACTTGTATTAGGTGAATTGAAAAATACTATTTCTTTTGTTTTTTACAGTGCAAATATTTGTAATCAAAAATAAATATAAAGTGAGTGCTGTACACTTTGTATTCTGTGTTGTAACTGAAATCAATATATTTGAAAATGTAGAAAACATCCAAAAATATTTAAATAAATTGTATTCTATTATTAACAGCGCAATTAATCATGCAATGAATCGTGATTGATTTTTTTAAACGCACGATTAATCAAGATTAATTTTTTTTACTCGCTTGACAGCCCTACTAATAATACCACTGTATTTGTGCCTCCTCATTAAAATACATATATTTACATTTTATCACATCACTAGCGGTGATAAAATAGTATAGTAGTGACTCTGCTATGGTTAATTCTTTCATATTGCACCTGAGTATGTCAAATACTGGATCACCAAATGGGGATAGGGCATCCTATCTTTTCTGTCTTTACCTTTAGTTTTTATTTTTAAAGGAAATGCATGTTCCATTAAAACCAAAACTAAACTCTTAAAAGGATGAAAAATAAGCTACAGTCTGTGTCCCCACATTCCCAGTAATCCATAAAATTGCAAAAAAGTGGCCATGAAACACTCATAAATATAAAGTTAAAATAAAGCAGAAAGAAAAATAATACAAATAGCCAAACCAAGAGATACTGAACACGCTGGAAAGACATTAATATTCTAAGGTTTAGCTATTTCCAGTGAGGTAAACCCTTTAGTCTTTACTTTTGGTGCACACTAGTCCCTCTTTGTTATTTGGACCATTTAATACCAAAGTAAATGAGCAATATGACTTTTTGTAGCTTGTCCCAACTTTGTCCCACCAGGATATGAACGAGCCCAAATGGTGACAGCCCTTTGGTAGTGTCCGTGCTATATCAAACCAGCTATATCAAACCCTATCAGGAAGGCCTGGATCCCTGAAAAGGAAGGGCTATAGCTCCTGCCATGCAAACTGTTATACATGTGCTTAATGTTACACATGTGAGTAACCCCTTCAATGCCAATGGGGTTACTCAAATGTGGCGAGGTAAGTATGTGTGTGTTTGCAGGATCAGGGCTCTAATCAGCACAACACAGGAACGTGCCAACAGACCAATCCTTGAAGCAACAAGTGTTATGTAGGGTGTTGACATGACACCTGGGACCTTCATTTACAACATCTCCATGTTTTTGTTTTGACTGAGGGGAAAGGTTTTGGGAAGAGAAGAAAGGAGTCCTCTGTCAGTGAAGTGACACCATGTATGACATCCAAATGGGGGGAGGACAGAAAGAGGAACATGGACAGTCTGTTCTGATTTGGTGCCCAGACAACCTGGTCCACCTTTTGAGCTTAAGGAAAGAAAAGAAAAGCTGTCCCTCTTTGTTTGTGGCTGTCATCTGCTTTATGACACACAGATGAATGAAGCTCAGCTATCCCCAGTGGAACCATATGGAAACAGAAACCAGACTCTTTTTTTTCAAACATGTACACAGTTGTATTTTTGGCAAATCCTTACTTGTCTTTCCAGTAATACTGTCCCCAGTGTCCAGATATATCTTCTATGCCAGCCAGCAAATGATCCAAGAACTAAACAGAAGAGAGGATTTTGCTATACACCGGTGTATCATTGCATATATGATGAACTATGTTGGATAACATCAAAAGCCAGCAGACAAAATGAAGGACATTTTCAGCTAGGTGCAGTAATCAGTAAACAAGAACAGGCGCTGTCTGCATAATTCCCCATTCAATCATCCTTGGTTCTAAAATGCAATGAGGCTTCTTTCTTTCAGGTGTGCACAAGCAGAGAATAATCACTGAGGGACATGGATCTGTTTTTTATTAAACATGCAGGTTGGCCAATGCCTTGCATGCCCTGCATAGTGCGACTTGACAAACACTGGAAGCTCATACTGAATGTCTGGAGAGCAATGTGTTTCATGAGAAAGACATATTTGGTGCATAGGTGCTGACTACATAGGGCTGGAGCTTCTCCTGGAATAATAAATACCCGCTGCTACTAAATAAAATCAATGACTACACTGCATCTTAAACACAAGCAGCTTATTTCTATGTTAAAAATTCTGAACAGGGAAATTTTCAACCTTAAAAAGTCTCCTGAATTTCCCAAATTGCCTCCCCAGCTGTTGTCACCAGTACAACCTGCAGCAGACTCTGCTATGCCACTGTTCATTACCCCCATCATACAAGTGTTCCTGTGCAGCTTCAACCAGCTCTAATTAGAGAAATCTCCTTTTGCACACAGAGATATACTAAGCTTTCAGCAAGTAGGTGTTAATCATGTGACAGTGCTCGCTTAACCAGCCTCCTCCACTCTTTGACTTCCCCTGAGGTTACACACAGCAACCTAACATGGGTTCAGATGTGTTAGACTGCACCTTACTGGGGCTTCTCAGGGCAGGTCTACACTACGGGGCTAAGTTGACCTAAGTTACACAATTCCAGCTACGTGACTAACGTAGCTCAATGGTGGGTAACCTGCAGCCTGTGGGCCACATGCGGCCCATCGGGGTAATCCGATTGCGGACCACAAGACATTTTGCTGACGTTGACCATCCGCAGGCACTACCCCCCGCAGCTCCCAGTGGCTGCGGTTCTCTGTTCCCAGCCAATGAGAGCTGCGGGAAGCGGCGGCCAGCACGTCCCTGCAGACCGCCACTTACCGCTGCTCCCATTGACCAGGAATGGCGAATCACAGACACGGGGAGCTGTAGGGGGCCATGCCTGCGGATGGTCAACGTTAGCAAAATGTCTCGCGGCCCGCAATCAGATTACCCTGATGGGCCGCGTGCGGCCCGCAGGTTGCCCACCACTGACGTAGCTGGAGAAACTCTCCCGTCGACTTACCTTATATCGTCTCGTTCAGGTGGAGTACCAGAGTCAACGGGAGAGCGATCTGCGGTCAATTTAGCGGGTCTTCACTAGACCTGCTAAATCGACCGCCCGTGGATCAATCGCCATGCTTCAATCCCCTGGTAATTCTAGACAAACCCTGTCACATTAAACTAACTTGACTGAGCTAACACAACTGAAAAGCACACTTTTTTTGCCCATCAAACCAGGACCTTTAAAAGGTGGTTTGGGAGGGGGAGTCCATGACATTTGATGCCACAGAAGGTTTCCTTCTCATTTCTCTCCTATTACATTTATAGGGCTTCATTTTTCCCGTTTGCTAGTAAATGCTAATGAGACAATACTTGGTCTCCCAGGCTGAGTTTAGTTTGAGTAATGAATACACTCAATGTTTTGGGGTCACCAGTACAAAAGCTTAAGATCTGGAGGGATAGCTCAGTGGTTTGAGCATTGGCCTGCTAAACCCAGGGTTGTGAGTTTAATCCTTGAGGGGGCCACTTAGGGAATCTAGGGCAAAAATCAGTACTTGGTCCTGCTAGTGAAGGCAGGGGGCTGGACTCAATGACCTTTCAAGGTCCCTTCCAGTTCTATGAGATAGGTATATTCCCCACCCCCAGCTTTTGGAATAATTAGGTGAATCATATACCCATTAAATCTTAAGGGATGTCTACAAATACTACATCTCTGTCCCATCTTTACATTTTCTGCCTTCAAATCAACAAGGATCAGAAGCCAGAATCACTGACAGGAAGGTATTAATTATTAATTATTTTTATTTGTACAGCACCAGCAGTGTGGTGCTGACAGGCAACTGATCCCCAGTGTAGGGTGGCTACAAGACATTCTGTCCATTGGCTGGAAAGGTGTTGGGAGGGGAGGAGCGGGCAGACTGTCAAGAAGGATGCTGGCCTGTGGGGAGTTAGAACTAGGGGGAGCTGGCAGCTAGGAAACAGCAAGAAATAGGGATTGGTGGGGCAGGAAAAGTGGAGGTAGGGGAGAGCATGCTGCAGCATGAAGGGTGAACAACCCGCAGGGGAAGCTTTAAGTGAAAAAGATGAACAATGGGAAGATGCTGGGGCAGCCAGGCCAAGCCAGCAAGGCAGGAGTAGGGAGCTCTCCGTTTGTGACTGTGCATCACCATTGCTGATGGGGTGAAGTTCACTCTAAGCCACTGTCACAGAGAGGTCACTGATTCACCAAGGCAGCAGATCAGCACATCTACTCATTTATGGGCATCCATTTCCATTCTTGCATAGGCAAAAATTTAGGCTGTCTAAGGACTGCAGAATTAGGCCCGCTCGTTGTAACACTAACACCGCAAATATTTAGTTTAAAAAATCCTAAATTGTGTCTTTCAGTCAAAATGGTAAAAAGGATCCCAGACGGAGCATTACAATAATCCCCTCTGAAGAAATAAATTAAAGGAAGAAAGCTTCCTCTGGGTTCCTGAGCGCCTGCTTTCTAGCTACCTGTATTGTTACCATGTCTACTTAATTAGTACATAGCTGTTTTCAGCTCACATTACCCAATAAACACATCTTTAGAGATGATTTACCATTCATGCTCTAACAAAAGAAGGAAGTGGTTCCTGTTTGCTATAGGAAAAGCCTCTTCAGCCTATTGAACTGTTCCATTAACCTTAGACAAAGCCCCATAATACATACTAATTGGGAGAATGCCAAGCCTGTTTCCTACAAGTGATTTCAGAGCAAACACCTGTGTTTTCATTTTATTTGTTGTTGTTGTCAAAAAGAGAAAAGAAATATTCCTTAGTACTCAGGTAAAAATGATTTGTCATCAAAAAATTCTATTCATAACTAATACTTTACATTTGACAAAATGCTTCAAGGACACTGCCTAGTAAAAAATCCCACTGCCACAATACCAACACTTCGGATGACCAGAGAAAAAACAAAGCCTCTCCAGTTTGTTTCATGGGTGAGTTTGGCAGCATTTTGTGTAATTTCACTAGCTGTTTTCCTTGTATACCAGTTCCCCTATTTGTTTGATTTGTGTTTGTAATACCATCAGTATTGGCAGTGAGACTCAGAAACAGGGGTATTACCTGGACTCAGGTTTTTAAACTGACTAGATTCCAAATGATGTTTAAACATCCTATTTGCTGTGATATGTAAGACACAGTGCACTAGATTCTGGCCCACACTGCAGTCCCTCTGGCTGCTGCAGTGGTACAAAGGTATTCTACTATGCTAAACGAGCAGCTGAGCAGTCCCCTGGCAAGCTGGAATCCTCTGTCCGCGTAGCTGGTGTAGCCAACTCTACATCACCCCTAACTGGCCCCTGAAAATGAGGGCATATCAGAAGTGGAAGGGAGCTTGTCCAAAGCATGCTGCATTCCAGCAATCCCCAGCTGGCATAACAACCCCATGGGAATTTAGACCAGCCCTGAGATTGGGCCAAGTGTAAAGCCACCATAGTCTCCCCGCATTCCCTACAGCTGCTCTGAGCTGCAATTTGTCATAGCTGAGGATGTAGCCCATTTTGTCCTAGAGGCAGTAGATAAAGGAACTGGCCTGGGAGTGTAAACATATGGGGTCTACCGAGGACTCTGCCACTGATCTGCTGCATGACTATGGGCTAGTCACTTAGCCTCTCTGTGCCTGTTTCTCTCCTGTGTAGCTGTTTAAAAGTGACCGCAGGTAGGGTATGTTTGTAATTGTAGTGCTTTCACCTCTCACATTCTAGAAACTGTTAATATTACACCAAATCATCTCTACCAATGCTGAAACACACTAAATAAAGTTTTCCAATGACATGAAGGCCCATAGAAATGGCTGATATTTAACCTCAAATAGGAAGTGAGCCAAATCCACCAAATTAAATTAGTTTAGAACTCTGTACCACTGTGTTAGGGAAACAATGTATGTTTGGTTTTTCGAGTGTGATGATCCCTTGCAATTTGAAGCTACAAATTAACATCCAATTAAATTGACCACTTCCTCGGGGCCCAGTCTTGCTCTGGGGCTCACATGACAACTCTTTGCAGGCTATTTCTGCAGCACTTGTGCACACAAGCAAGGTAACAAATAGCGTGGTAGCTGTTCTGCATAAACCAGGTGAAGGGATTTCTCAGCCCCTGCCCACCCTATGTTTGCAAAGCCTGTAACGTGGGCATTTCCAATGCATATGTTTGTGTGGGTGGCTGGGTGGCTGGGTATCTGTGCTTATGTGGGCTAAAGCCAACTTACATGGACATGGAAAACTACTACACAGCAGCCCTTCTTTGTGTCAGGAGTATCTTCATCCCAAGTATAGGATTAATTGCTCTTACTTCTATAGCATGAATCAAATGAGAGTCTTTTCAATGACTTCAGCGGGCTTTGGAGCAGGCTGCTGCTGAGGGACCGAAGCTGAGAGATGTAATTGCCATGTATACGAATATATCCAAATACATTGCCACTAGACTTGCTATCATGTCCCAGCCAGCCCCCGCAACTCAGAGCTCTGCCCACGTTTGGGGCTATGTTTTCCTTTGGTGTCAGCTCTTTTCTTTTGGAGGGTGTCCTTCTAGCATTTGGTGATTATTAGTGGCCAGCCAGAACCCCCACAGAAACACAAAAAACAGAACTACAGCTAAGCCTATATGCTAACTTCTTACCACTAGGTCCAGAGCTGGGGCTAGTGCCTGGTGCACAGGGCACCAATGCCGGGTCATTCCCCCAACTAGGAAAGCCCACACACACCCTCCCCCGTTGCCTCCTTGATCCCTTCCAGACAGGCAGAAAGGACCAGGTTAGACTGTAAACTCTTTGGGGCAGGTACAGCACCTAGCACAATGGCACCCTGATCAGGTCCCTGTGTGCTACTGCAATAAGAATAGCAGAGCTTACTACCTTCGTATGACCCAGAGCCTGAAAAGGAATCTGCATTCAGAAAGCCCCGCTGAACTAAATAGGACTCTGCAAGGGCTCAAGGGTCTTCACAGGCAAATTGCTTGGCAGGATCAGGCCTATTAGCAAAGCAAATTGAAATGCTGTAATCATACCCACCCTTTGGCTAGGCATAAAGAGCTGACCCACTTACCCGGATGTGAATCTGTTCCCCTACCGTGGGCGCACTTTCTCTTTTCCTCTTCACATCTAATAAGTCAACGAGAGGACGGATGGTCATTCCCTGCAGCATAATGACACGCACACAAATCAGGCTCTCTTCATAACACAGCAACTTTTCAAAGGACCAGCATGTTTTCTAGTTACATATCTTTTAGCCTGTGCTGAAAATTTGCTGTTGAACAGCATCACCAACGTCAACACAAAATTAGCATAGCAACCCAGTTCCTGCTGCATTGAATCCTGACTTGTTTCCAGTGAGAAGAGTTCTTTGGGCCAGTCTCTCTCCTCAGCTTTTTTGCTCTTTTCAATATGTGAAGCCACTGTCTCTGAAAAACTCTGTACCTGTTTGCAACCCAAAAACTTTATTTACCAACAGACAAGCTATGTTAACGATCCCAGTCCTCTCACACATTCATAGATTTTAAGGCTAAAGGGACTTGCATTACCTCTTGCATTATACAGGTCACAGAATCTCACCCAGTAATTTCTGCCTCAAGTCTATGAAAACTGCACAATTAATTGATTTTTTCAGTTTGGTGGCCAAATTGAAAAAATCTGGGGGGAAAAAACAAACATTTGGAGTCTAATTGAAACTGATTTTTTTATTTTTTTCTAACCTAAGGATTTTTTTTTTAAACTATTTCAGGATAAAAAATATTTTGTTCAATCCAAAAATATTTTTTTTTCATTCTACTGTGTTACATTTTCAGGTGGGTTTTTTTTACCCTTTGCAACCCTTTGCAAAAAAATCAAACAAATCTAGCTAAATTTAGAACGAAAATGTCATTTCCAAATGAAAAGTCAAAGCATGATATTTCAAAAATGTCAAAAAAGCTCATTGTGATTTTTAAAAAACCCCACATGTTTTTTCATTTTTCATTCAGCCAAAACTATTTGCCAGTTTAACCTGAATCCATTAAACAGTTTTGGTCACCCTGAAACTTCCTGTTTTGGTGAATAAAGTATTCCAATGACAAATTTCACCCAGCTGTAAAGCCTATAACTTCTGCTTGAGCGCTAGCATGTCTTGTAGAAAGAGGTCTAGTTGAAATGTAAAATTGTTAACAGATGACAGTTCTGAGCACCTTGCAGGAGTCTTACTGTCAGCATCTGTGATTTATCTATGACTCTAACTGGTGAGGGAAGGGGGGAAACGTTTAAAAAAGTCTTTCCATGGAACTCATGAATGAGAAATTCTGAAGTCCTGCTGTGATTACAATCCATTATATCTCTTAAGTTTGCCACTTTAAGAAATTACTTTCCTATGCTATGCCTGCAGCAGAAATGATACAGTAGCTGATGCTCATGACTCTCTTGAATGTCACAAGAGTTGGCATGGAGGACAGCTTTAATTGCAAGAACAATTAATGTGTCATTTTAATCACTAATGTCAATACAGAATTCATCAACATTCAGTGTAAATAATATAAATCTTACAAATTTAGAAATAACACATATTGCTAATTAAGCAGCGCCTATGTAATTTGGCCTCTTGTCTTTTGCTGGATAATCAGCTGGGTTTGTTTTCATTTTAAACTGACAGTACTGAGTTCTGTGACCATGACTCCCAACTTCTCACATACACAGAAAGAGATTTCTATGGCTCTGATCCTGAGTGTTGTTTTATATGAACAGGCCCCTGTGCTTGTGCAGAGCCCCATTGACTTCAACAGAGTTCTGGTGGGGAGATGGGGCGGGGGTAGACTCCTGCAGCCACGTGGATAAACTTGCTGGATCGTGGCCTTAGTACTGATTGATGGCTGTATATAACCTGTGTGAAATGTATTACTGGTGTCAATCCAGTTGCTAGTGGATAAGTGTCCACATCACACAAAAAACCCAAAACAAAAACCTTCACAATTTAACAGTTCCTTCTTAGCAATTTCACCAGGGAGGTCACCATCTGAATAGGCAGAGAGAGTGAACTATAAATGGAGAACATGGCATTTAGTTTTTAAAGGACATTGAGAGAAAAAACAATGACGCTCCTTTGTGGCATTCAAGACAAACCAAAGGCTCTTTTGAGGACTTTATGGTGCAAGTGGCATCCATCAGGCCAGTCTGGGAGCACTGAGCATCTGTCAATTGCCAAAAAATTTTCACAAAACTATTGATCACTCCTGCTGTGTAAATTCAGGAATGATGAAGATACTCTTGCCACAGGTTCAGATAGACCAAAATAGACATTGTGACTGGGTTATATATTGCATGGCCACACCTAACTGCTTACATATCATGTTTTAGGTCTAGTAAAGGCATTGCCAGATAATCAGCTGGGGCTTTCCAAGAGAAAGAAGCTCCCTCAAGATTCCTTACACATCCCTTTACCCCTCTGCACCAGCATCAAGGCCAACTACACTATGCCCTGCAGTTTTTACTCAGTCTTTACTCACACAAAAGCGCTCCCTGAGGTCAGGATTTGCACCATTGTTAATACAAGCTGCTGATGTACATCAATAAAGAAAAAGCTTTAAAAACAACAGCGCCATGAATGTTATTTTTTAACAAATCATTTATTTCTTCCCCCTTCCATCCAAGGTGAAATGCATTATGAAGAATGCTGGGACACTGAAGTAATCTCCAGGCCCAGCTCTTCATCCACGGATGTAACTGGAAACACTCCCCTTCACTTCATAGGGTGTGGGATCAATTTACACTCTGTGGTTTTTAAAAGGTTGTCTTTAATATCTGATCTATCATTTTTATATTTTTTTCTACGTTGGGGCATGTCAAGGTTGTTGTTTCTTTAAGCAAGTTTAAATGTTTCTGATTCTTTTGGCTGTCTCTGCTACATGATGCCACAGGTACCCAGAATTTGAATCAAGCTAGTCTTCATGAATACTAAGTGTCTGCTGAATGACTCAAGGTCAAAGGTCATTCTATTGACACATACCCACAGGGGAGTCCCACCCTTTCGCATGGAGATGACATCACCATTTGAGCTCTGAGGTTACACAAAAGCCCTTCCACCATCCTGAGAATTATTTTACGAAGCTTCTGTGGAATGGAACTGCTGCCTTAGAGCAACCTTTGTCAGGGACTCCGAGTCTCTCTGCAGGAGCGGTCCTGCCAAGTGACCGGATCTTTTCAATTTCTGACCCACATTTGCATCTTAAAACCTGTCAACCTGAACCCAACTCCCCTTTTCCCACCCCCTGGCCTCCGCTCACTCCATTCAGTCTGCCGGATAGGATTGGAAATTATGCTCCACAATAGAGATCCAGCTGCCTGTCTGACTCAGCTCCAGGCCCAGTCACATTGGCATATCAAGATCATTACTGGTTTTGCCCAAATGATGGTATCAAATATGAGGAGGCACGGAAGCTTTGCTGTGTGGGGTCAATTGTAAAACATACCAGTGTGAATCTTCACCTCGTATGCAGCCTGAGCATGAGTGTGCTGGAGAGTTCAGCGGGGTCCATGTGGAAGAAATTCTCTCCCACCGGGTGTGGATCAGCAGTGAAGCCACTCTGCACCTCTAAATGTGGCTTCAGAAGCCTCAACAGCTGCTTCAAACCTTCTACAGGGTGGGAAGTGGGTGGGGGGAGGAGGGCAGGCATTGGATTGGTGAATCTGTATGGAGCTTGTGCACACAGGTGCAAGAAGCCCCCATGGAGCTGTACTAAATGGTGCCACCCCTTTCACTGACCTTCTGAATCTTGCCCCCATATAGATTCATGCAGCAGAACTGCCCTGGGATCTACTGTGCTGCTTTGCTCATCCAACTCTGCCAATAGAATGGGGGAAGGTGGGAAGATAAGGCTATGTTCATTCCAGGAAGCAAGAGTATCAGCATCATGTGCTTCCCACAAGCAGTTACCCAGAAATAAAGGTCCTGAACCTAACCCTGGACTTCTAAAAATAGGACAGTTTTGGGAGTTCCTTGACCAGATAATCCCAAATTTCCACCACAAACTCACCTCGGGCCCTGACCTGACATACCAGTTTTCAAGATGAACTAACTGTGCAAGTGGATTTTAGGGAGGTATGAAATCTGGGCTTTAATCAGGAACCTTGCTGCAATCATGGAGTCACTGCTGCTGCAGCTTTGATGATAACACAGGGTGCAGGGCAGCAGAGAATCGGGGCCAAAATCTTTAGCAAACTAAAAGTGTCTAGGAATATTTTAACCACTAGATGGCACTTGAATGCCAAGAGATGTTCTCGATGTGCATTTTTCCTTAAAGGGAAGCACACAAGTTATAAACGGATCCCACAATCAAAGTAGATCTTAATAACCTTCAGTATTAGCATAGACTAAAATGATGGGAAATCTTTGACCTTCATTTACATATAAGAAAGGGGAATTAGGAATCATTTTAAACTAAAAGTGGGACATTGTAAGCAAGAGAGAACAACATATAGTGAAACAGAAACATATAAGCAAGAAATTTCATATAGATAGAATTCAGAGTGGTAGCCGTGTTAGTCTGTATCAGCAAAAACAACGAGGAGACTAATAAATTTGTTAGTCTCTAAGGTGCCACAAGGACTCATGGTTGTTTTTGCATATAGATAGAAGTATTTTGAAACTAACGTTTTAAAAAAGATTGCCATTAGAATCCCAATGTAAAATTAGATCATTTAACAGAATAGGTGCTGGAACTTGGGATGTGGGGAGTGCTGCCACACCCCCTGTCTTGAAGTGGTTTTCATTATATACAGGCTTTACAGTTTGGTTCAATGGCTCTCAGCACTCCCACTATACAAATTGTTCCAGCACCCCTGTTTAACAGAAGGGCCATTTAATTACTCTTAAAATTCAAGGGACCTGATCCCCATTCTCTTGCAGTCTATAACGAAACCTCCATTGATTTAAATAGGTAGAGCACTGCCTGGATACAAAAATTGTATCCACATCCAATCCGCAATCCGCAAACATGGTCTGCGGATATCCACATCCACATCATAAAGGGGATATCCACAGATTTGCAGAGCTCTAAATATAAAATTTGGATCTGCACCCCTCCGTGATCCACAAACATGGTCCACGAATGCAGGATATTCACAGATATAAAGCAGATATCCGCAGATTTGCAGGAACAGGAGCAGGACTAACTTCAGTGCATGGCAACTAGTGGCAGATTCTCTAATTTACCTCACTTTAAATACACATGGAAACAAATTTTGAACCTTAATCAGAAGCATCTATGAAAAATTACATCATTTGTGAGATAGCAGAGATTGTGCAGTTAGCTCACTGAATTCTTTTTCATAATTCCATTTCTTATCATTACAAAACATCTAGATAAAGTTAGAATGCTTCCAAACTCAGTTTGGTTGGTGAAGTTTCTATCTTTTTATCTTACTAGCAAGCTAATATATTTGAGCCACCTTGGGCTGTAAGACAAGAGCATTTGGCTAACATGAGTGGTATCATCTTATTTGTCATATTATTCTTGAGGAATAATAAACTCCTTAAAAATCCACTCTTTCCGTGAAGTGGACTGTAATGAACCATTATTTTGATTGTTTATGATTTATGTTACTTATGTAACTAGTCACACACCCCGATCCTTTTTTCAACTCTAGACAATATGGCAATTTAAAGCTATCACAAGGGCAGGGCCTTCTTTCAATGAAACATCATAAAGTGCTAACACCTGCCTTTTGTATGTATGTGAAGCTATCTCTGACATATATACTAACGCCAAGATTTTCCAGTGACTACTGATTCTGATTGCCCCAGTTGTTGTGTGCATCATAAAGAGACCTGATTTTCAGAAGATACTGAGCCTCTCAAAATCGGTACCACACACTCAAAATCAGGCCCCTTTAAGTTGTCTCATGCCAAAAACTGAGATGTTCAAAATCACTAGTTACTTTTTAAAACCTTGCTCCGGGGGGCAAGCATGAGAGCCCTCCAGCCTAAAGCACAACTGAGACTGACAAAGAGCCTCAGGTCACCAAAGACAATGAAGCCAGAACCTTTTGAGTTATGGCATTGATGTTTATTTTGTGATTTGATATTAATAAATTAACCCATCTCATATTCCAGAGTGTGTTGGAGAAGTATTCTTGAGGAGCCCTGAGAAGGGGAAACTGAGGTAAAAGGTCCTGAAGGGTCATCCCATGCCAGGAGAGGGTGCTCTGAGATGGCAGCGCTGTGACAATACCCAACATAACACCTGTTTTTCTCCTTAATCGGGTATCAAATCCTAGAGTGTATTTTACTTTGGTGCTCATTCTGCTCCTGGTAAAATACCTAAGGGCCTTGCTTTAAAGGGATATCTACATTAGCTTTTTCCTACTAACCTTTTCACCATTATTATCCCTGGTAGAGCTACACCAGTGCAAAGATGGGGTTTGTCAACATGGAAAAGACTCACGTAGACAAGGCCTAACAGTGTTACTCAGTGACTGTTGTCAACCACACAAATATAAGACACATTCTCCCAACTCCTGCTTCGTTCAATAAGAATTCTAACCTCTGCACGCCTGATACAAGGAAAGGTCTGATAGCTTTATGTTCAATTCTTTTGTCCAATTAGAGTCCACACTAAATCTAAAGAGTGTCAGCATCAGCCATGTATCTGAAACAAAAACACTGTCATGCACTATGTAATAATTGGACTGACGTAGGCGTTCTACCATATGGATAGTATCCTTACCTGTACAAACACAGTGAAGAGAATAAGTACAGTTGTGGCTGCAATGAAGAGCTTCTTTCTAGGGAAGTCAGGGAGCAAGAAAACCAGGGAGAAACAGATGGCGCCTCTAAGACCCCCATATGCTATAATAAACTGATCCTTGCTGGTAACAGTGTTCACATGTAATCTGTTCACGAAGAAAGTCAATACAAGAACCCCTATTAAAGTAGGAAAGAAGATGGGAAATTAGCAAGTAAGAAGAGAACTTACACAGCATTAAAATAAGTGGCTATTACACTGTGAACAAATTACACATCAGTAGGAATAGGGCAGGGAAGACTTTGGTAATATACTACACTCCTCCACTGGCCAGATCCACTGGGTTTCTATCTGTCTGGTACTAGACCCAGAATAGCTAAGAATCCAGACCCAGTTATGTCTGACTTGGAGGAGACAGGAAATAGTGTTGAATGGCCACAGTTTGGTAGGTCTTGTAAGACCTATAAGACGTTAGACTGATCTTTTGGTAATATCCCATGTTGGATACTATCAACCTTGTGTGTCGTCAGGATCTATTCTTGAAACTGGGGTTCCTTTTAGAACAAGAATGAGGTTTGACCCAGAGTTTTAGTTTATGTACATAGCCATCACTGAGATGTTCCTAAAATATACAAATTAGGTTAGTGAATAAGTGCTAAGTATTAACGGAGTATTTAATAAATAAAGCTATTATAATACAATACAGTGTATTAATGTATTTGTTTTGATGGCAGTTTAAAAAAATATTTTAAAAGTCACTCTTTGTTTCATATTAACAGTAATGCACAGGTCCAAGAATTCATATTCATTAGTATAATAATATGGGAACTGACCCTGGGAATTGACTTAAACAGTAGTTGATTCATTCTAATTGGTAATTAATTATTGGATTTTCTGGGTGATAAATACTCTCTCAAGGGCAAACTGGCAATTTGGTTTATTTTAATAATTTAGTTACAGGTTACCTTTTGAACTGCATTTGGTTTTAAGCAACAGCCAGGGCACACAAAATATTTTATGTTTTGTAATTGCATTAAGCTTGTGTATTTGGCAGTCTCTAATTCATAGAGATTAATACTGTGTGAACTTTAAGTTTATGAAAGGTGCCACAGCAATTGATGCAATTGATAATCATTTGCAATTAAACAGAAGCAAAAAGTTGCAGTAGGTCACACTGTGGGTCTATTAATCTGACAATATCTCTGTTACAGAAACTGAGAAAGAAACACGTACGTGGCTCTAAACTTCTAGGGCCTGATTCTGACCTCATTAACACCTGTGTAAATCAGGCCTTACTCCATTTACACCAATGGAACCTGTACAGATGAGATTAGAATCAGACCCTTAAACTCTGAAACAGTGACTATAATTAAGCAATAATAACGGAGACCCTGGACATTTCATTTCTTGAAGATTAATCTTTAAGATTAATGGCTAGTTTGAGAATTGATGACATAAGAGGGTCATGAATTCTCTCCCTTGCCCCCTCACATCACTACAGCTTTTTTTAAAAAATGTTTTAAAGACATTATCCACCTCATTTGTTGGGAAATAAACTTTAAAAACAACACTATACAAACACCTCCCCACACACTTCTAATAACTAGGAATAACCAATTTCTATCATACAGAGGAACAATTTGGAGAAGGCAAGAAATCTTGGAATATTCAGTAATAGCGAACATGATTAACGGGAACTGTGGCAATGATGTATTCCCAGCTCCAGGAGCGCCCGGGAATTAAGGCCAAGAGGAGCACATGATGACAAGAACTCCAGTTTTCATTTTCAACGTTCTATCTAACTGACAATAACACTTTTAGTTTGAAAAAATGCTACGTAGAAACGTATTTCACAACTAGACCAGAGCCAAACACAGCCAGTAATTCACACTCAAATTAATTTCAAGTGCCATCTTTAAGTAGGAGTGGTTAGTAATAAATACATTTTCCATCCATATAGTCAATTATCATTTATGTCTCTTAAATTAACTCAGGATCTGTTCGGTTGAAGATGTAGCATATGATTAACTATTTGGGCCAAAATATTTCTCCTTTTGGAGAAGCACCATAACAAACAGATAGCAGAAAATTCTAACTTGTTTAAAGAATGGCAAAATATTGGTGTCCTGGGGCCTGCTGTCACCCACTCAATTGCTTCATTTTTCTGCACTTTTCAGACCTCCTCCAACTTATGCCAGTGTGACTCCACTCAGCTGGCTTCAATAGAGTTATTCCTGATTTAGTGCAGCATAAGCGAGAGAATCAGAGTGGCTCCACTAGTGGGATGAGGTCCTGGAACCTGGTGGAAAGGGCCCAGCTGCTCCAATAACATCAAAAACTTCTCGCCACAAAGACCTTTTCACAAGAGCTTTATTCTCAGGTTTAGGGTCCTCAGGTTGCAAGAAAAAACAGCAACAAAGGTTCTTACAGAAAATAAAAGACGCATGAGTAGTGGTAAGTAGCAGGAGGGGCTCACCATCCTGAGTACAAACCCACCAGGCCCCCATGGGTATGCACTCGGGGGTGCTAGCCCGAGCCCCTGCCCGAGTTACCATGACTACACTACTATTTTTAGCATGCTAGCTTAATGAGAGCTAGTGTGAGTATGTCTCCTTGAGCTCCAAGTGCAGACATACCCTAAATATTGTAAATAGGTGAGCCAGAGACCAAAATGTTGAATGAAATTCAGCCCTGGATGAATGTGGGCCTAGCACCCTTTGAAGTCAATGGGAATTGCACCTAATTATTCCAGGGCTGATTTTGATGTCATCTCTTCTTTGCTCTTTCTGTTTACAATATTAAACCCTTTCCGGTAATGTGATAAGTAAATAGAGAATTTGAGGTTTACTGCCTATTCTTGGAACACCAGGGCAGTTTGTTAGGTGCTTTAATGATTGTTACTGACATTGTTTGTTACCCTCCTGCCATGAGCTATTTTCAAACAAGGGGAGTCCAAATCATTCAGAATGCTTTTTTCATTTCATTGAAAACGAACATTTTAAACAAAGGAAACCATTTTCTCATAGTAAAACACTCAAGGGTGTGCATAATTGACCAATAAATGTGCTTCCAGGTACATTTATGGCACTCAGTTATTAACAGCAAATCTAGTCATGTGTTAATAGCCAATAAAGCACATCCTGCCATGTCTTGTTGTTAATCACTGAGAATCCAATTTAAGTAATTTGTTTAATGAGCCTATTAAACTTCAGGTCAAGTTTTAACCACAAAGGTATTTCTGGTTGCTTTAGTGGTTTGTAAACAGACACCCCATGAAGCACCTTTCACAAATTCTAGGTGCCACCTTTCTTCTCAAAAATGTACTATGCTTGTGACAACTTTGGACATTAATTTAAGATTAAGTTATAAAAGGCATCCCTAGAAGAGAAAAGAGACTGCACGTAGCTACGGGCTCCAGGATTAAAACCCAGTATCAAGAGGCCTGATTCTCCACTCCATTGTGGGGTCCTTTCCACCTGTGCAAAGTGGTTGTCAAACACCCCTCCTCGACTTTGCACAGATGTCAGTGGCTCCATGTGGTGCAGGGCAGTGGAGAAGCATGCTCCCTGAATGTCAAATCAGTGCAAGTTACACTTCTTTACTACTTTCACCCATTTTCCTGACCATTTACAAACACTGGAAAATGTCTTTGGGGGTTGCACCTGCTTACATGTGGTCTGGTTTTTGTCTGGTTACTGTAAAAGTCAGCAGATATCTAGGGCACAGCCCTTTTTCAGGATTTAAGAAGATAATTTTCAACTCCAAGTGTGTTGGGAAAGGATTTGGGGCCTATCCCTACCCTCCCATTTAGAACTTGGTCTTGGTCTCCCCACCCATGAGTGACTCTGTATTCTCAGGTGGGGGTTTATAAGCTAGTGACGGGGAGAGCAAGTTAGCCCTGGGTCTTGTTTAACTTGCCCATTTAAATGGCAAACCTTTCCCTAGCGTGCCTGAGTTCTGGCTGTTGTGCCTCTATATGAAAAAAGGTGTGTTGTTTCTCTAACAAACTGTCTGTATGAATTGAAGTGGTTGTGAAAGGTGCCTGACTGACAAACCCACAAATGGAAGTCCTCTTATTAGCTACAGCTTAGGAAATGACTGGGCAGCAGCAGTGTAAACTTCCTCACTTTAAGGCTTTAAGCCACATTTACATCATTAGAATTCTGGGCTGGTGAGTACCTACCATTATTTAGGTGTCTGAAGGAGCTGCTCTAAGTTACAGACAGCCAGAGCTGCTCAGAATTGCTGGAGCATGGTGCACCCCAACATACTGGGACTGGCAAGGGACCCTGTGTTTCCCATAACTGCACGGGGCGGGATTCTCCTATTGCTGGCCAAGGGGCTTTTACGGAGCAAAGAGTGGCCATAGTGAGAGGGAAAATCCCTCCTATATTCCTATACATTGTGCCCAGGTAGGTAAACAAGAACAAAGACATAGAACAATAGGACACAATACTAGGCTATATATTAAGTTTCTCTATTTGCATATTATTTGTTTATATATTGTCTCCAAACTCTGGGCTAGGAGCATGTGTTGTGTGTCTTTATGGCAAGGAAGAATCCCTAAAAAGTAATGTTGGGAGTATCCCAGGGTTGCTGAGTAAAGGAGAGGTCTAGCCCTCTGCTTTAAAAATATAAGATGAGAGAAAAAGTAATCATGGGGCCTCTACATCATCATCAAGGGAAGCGTTTATCCACTATTTGTTATTCACTGAATCTTATTCTGAACATCGCAGTGCCCAGCTCTGAAGCCTAGATTAATCTCCAGTTTTGCTCTGTTTCCAGGATACCATTTGCCCATTAACATTTTCCAGCTGTTCCTACAGGAGAATTTACAGCTGCTGACGTCTTGGTTCATATCATTGCCCTCCCGTGCTGCAGAGAGTGTGGATTATCCTCTACAAAAAATATCTTGATGTAACTGCAGCGCCCCTCGTTTGCTTATGTTCTTAGACATGCTAACTCAAAACTTTACCAAACCCCGGGCTTCTCACATTTTTGCTGGCCGCCTCCATTTCAAGGCCCCAGTGCTCTTCTATACCAGCTCAGTGGAAGACATTCTTCCACAGGGAAGCAGAATGGCCCAGGAGTTCCAGGACAGAGAGATCCTGTGTGCCAGCTGTGATGTCCCTTTATGGGATACAGTTTGCTTCTCCTGCATAGGTAGCCAGCTCTGCTGGACAGTGCACAGATGAATGGAGTCATGGATCTCCATCCTCCCTACCCTCTTTGGGGCACAGAGCAAGTCCCAGGGCAGTAGGAGGGTGCAGTCCCTGTGCTACTGTGAGTGCAGGAACTGAAATTCTTGTTACCAAACAAGCAAGTGATGAGCTTCTCACATGCTGTCTGCCCACTGTACCCACATAATGGCCAGGCGGAATCTGTCCTGGGTTTAAGTACAGTTACTGTTGTCATTTTAAAATACTTCCATCCCACATCTACTGTAAGAGATGACTACACATTGTGTATAAGGACTCTGGATTGATCACCCAGCTGCACAGATGCGCATGGGGATTCACATTTCACTACAAAACACAGGCCTCTGCTTCTCCAGCTAATAATACAGCTCATTAGCTCAGCTAGCAGAGAGAACTGGTTATACATAACATCCAGTCCATCACCTTCCCAGCTAAGGGAAATGATTCACATGCAACCAAGCCAATACAGGACTTATTTCTTCCAGTTAAGACAGCATTTGCCCTTGAATACACTCTAGAGGAGTTGAGTACTCAGGAGTCCAAGCCAATCCTGAGGCACTCATCTGAATCAATCTGTGCCCAGATACCTGCCACCACGTTAAGAAGAGACAATAAGATTCATGCTTAAGATGATCAGCTCCAAAAACAAGATCCCCCTATTAGCTGAAGAACCAGTTTATCTTATCCAATACAGGAACAAAGGGAGTCAATCACATTTTCCATTGAAGGATGTGATAAAGTGAACTGGAAACATGGTAGAAATACAAATGGAAGTACTAAATGAACCAGCAGTTAGAATTAAAGGTTATGTTCTGAATGTTAGGCAACCAGTACTTTTCAAAGAGTCACTCCACTCCTACGCTTAAATGAGATACATAATAAACTCTGAGATTGTACATGTCATTGCCACAAAGAAAAATCAGTTTTTTCACCATACCTAGTGCTCTCCAAATAAGACAGAAAATGACGGTAAAGCAAATATAAGACCAACTCCACTCATGGTTGTCTCCAATGGTAGAGACCCCAAGAAAGATGAAGATAAGGGTATCACTAACACTGCTCCACATCTTCATAAAGTATTTGATTGTAGTGTGAGACTTTAGAGAGATATTCGCCTCCACATAACGTTTCATGCCCATGGCACAAGCTATAATACTGAGGAAAGAAAATAAATCAATTACATATGGTACATAGGTTGGTTGAAGGAACATGCTAGATAGGCAAAAATTACATCATAGCCTTTCGAAGACAATGTAAGTTTTGGGTCAGATTCTGGTACGCTAAGACTCACTAAGTAGTACCTTACTCCCCAAGTAATTCTATTAGAAATCAGTGAGACTACTTGTGCAGAAAGAGCCTACTCTGTGTGAGTAAGGGTATTTGGATCTGGCCCTTAATAAATAAATGCTAAGTTATTACATTGATTGTAGGGAGGTAGCGACACCTATAGTTAATGTTGCCCAACGCTTTCCATTATAAGACCCTGTTTTCAGTTCCTTATAAGTTTGCCAAACTTTAACCATTTGGGCTGAAATTTTCAATCCTGGGTGTTTGCCTCAGGCTGATGTTTTCTGGAAAAATTTCAGCAAAAAAGGTTCAGCTGTTTCTCAGAATGAGGTTACGGGAAAAAATATATTGGCTTGCTTATGTTAAAATATTCGTATAAACATTTCATTGAGAAGATCTAGCACCTCCTCCATGGGCCACCTTATTTCTAGCATTTCCTAGCTTTTGAGTGTTTTACTTTGCAACTTTGTAACATTCTTTTAATGTAGCTTTACATATCATTATTAATATATTGCATATATCCACTTCCTGTCATCTGTTTGCCATCAGCAGTGCAACAGTGACAGATTCTAATCAAGACTTAATCTCAATTTTTGGAATCAAAGACTCATAAATATTAGAAATGCAAAAGGCCTGTTAGATAATAACCAAGTTCATCTCCCAGCCATAGCAGGACTGTTCCCTATACACAATACAAATTGCTCCCTGCAGTACACATTGTTATTTGTATTACCATGGTGCCCCAGGGTCCCAGTTATGGATCATGCCCCACTGTTCTAGGCTCTGTAGAAGCACATAACAAAGAGACAGTCCATGCCCTGAAGAGCTTGCAGTCCAAGTGCAAGACCAGAGACAATGGGTGGATGCAGCAAACTGGCAGTAGGGAGCATAAGGAAATGATGAGACAATACTGAAGAGACAAGAATTACAGAAAAGGAATAGGAGCAAATTCCAACATAAGTTACACCAGTGTAAATCTGAAGTAATTCAGCTCATTCGATGGAGTTTACACCACTATGAGGCCAGAATCTGGCCCATAAAATTTTGATCTCTCAAAAGCGTAATAGTGAACTCCTTTAAAAAAAATCTTGAGAGCTTTTCCAGTGTTTTTCTGTATATCGTGTCTTTTTATAACTCCACTCCCGTGCTACCCCATGTGCCCACAGAAACCAGCTCTAACTCACAGATCAGTATGGCACATAGAATAATGCTGATGAGCTGAGCATTTATTGCCCTTTCACAGCTTCCACACATTGGGGGTTGCGCTGAGAAGTAGCCTGTGATGAGGAGGAGAATGTCACGCACAAATATGTTTGCCCAGATTCTGCACTGCTCTCTGATGCTTTGGGAAGCCTATCTGGTGAATTCTGGCCCTAAAACCATCATAATCAGCCACAGGAAGATCATCCCAGTATGGCGGGACCTTCAGAATACAGACACCTGAGGTAGCAGCTCCTGTGCTGCTGGTATGAGGGGTGTGAAGAGGGCTTCTTCAAATCCGGCTGATCTGTGGCTGCTGTATCAGACTCTTGGGGCCAGGGGCAGCCAGCATAGCATACGAGTAGCCTGCAAGCTACTCTAACTAACACCAGGGACTGGCCCAGGATGGGGGAAGCACATTTTACATTCTCATCCGCATCCTGAGCTGCTATGTTCTTTGGCCACAGCTGAGGAGCTGGCCCCTTAAATCAGCTGAAGGACTACAGAGAGCTCAACTAATATCAAAGAAATCTTACTGAACATTCACTAGGCTGTGTGATGAACACAGAGCAGGCCTTCAATGGGATCACTGTGCTTCTGAGAAAATTAGAGAGTGTCACTACAGCAGTAACACTTTACCTCTTCATATATTGTACATACAAGGTCATTTTAGAAGTGTGAAGCCCCAATTAAAACTTTTACTCTTTAATTGTTCATGGATAATTGGTTATTTAAACTACAGGATACATGTGGTTAGCCTAATTCATCATCTTTTCAAATCAGCATAATTTCAGCCTAGCAATCTCAGAAGGTCAAAGCAATTGAAATCAAAGAGTCAAAGAACTGGGGGGAGAGGGGTATGTTACTTTGACTGAAACACATTGTACTAAAGGACCGGTTGAACTCCTGAAGGCAAGACAAATATCAGTTTCTGAATTCTGGTCACCATTGCTATTTTGACAACAACTCTCTGAAGCAAAGGGCCTGGTTTTCTTCTAATCTACATCCGGGTACATCAGGAGTAACTCCCCTGAAGCTGCTAGCATTACACTGAGATAAATTGGTGTGATGTACATAGGATCTAGCCTATTGACTTTAAATTTTACTTTACTGGTGACTGCCACTCCATAGTTTTCCAAACAGCCATTGGCTACTGCTGGTCCATTCTATTCATAGTTCATGCTCTCAGATGGTGGTCATGTGGCATATAATACAGGGGCCACAGAATGACAAACTTATGCATGGAAAGAGGTATACACTGCCGAGGAGGTTAGCATTGGACACTGATTGCAAAAAACACATTCTGACTGGGTGTTTGGGCCTTATTGGCAAAGTCACAACTGTGTGCCAGCTCCCAGTGAATATACAGTGCAGCTATGGGCATGAAAAAGAGAGAAAATGAGAACATTTCTGTCCAACTTTCTCCTCCCTCCCTCCCTCTCTTTGATTTTAATCTCATCATTTTTAAGTCTTATTTTACCTGTAATTTTCATCCTTTCTTATTTCATACGCGAGTCCCAGGAAATCGACAAAAGAAACCCACTCCTTTTTTGCCTCCACTTCTAAACTGCAACTCCCTGCAGTGAAATGAGGCAGAGAGGAGCTCATCCGTCCTTTCTGTGTTCACTGCCAAAACGTTGGGCAAAGTACATCCTAGTGCACAGTGGGATTAGAGTGGGCCTCAGGAATAAATGTGATCATTTTCTGTTGGAAACTGTCAATTTTTCTAAGTAGGAGAAATATGTGGCCACTGGGAAGCCTGGATGTGCAGATCTGTACTGAGCATTAATAACATGGGTAGGGAGCACTATCTGTAAGGGCAGCAAATAGTGTGTTTCAACAACTGAACAGAAGGATGACAACAGCAGCAATGGCCAAGGTTTCCATGAGATGAGATCTCACCTGACTATTTTTCTGCAACCCATGGAAAACCAATGAGCCTGATTCTCCTCTCACCAGCCTCCTCTGTCCTCTTCTACTAGTAAAACACCATTAATTTCAACATAGTTATTCCTGGTTTGTACTGCTGTTAGCAAGAGCAAAATGAGGCTCATCTTCTTGTGATCATTCCCCCTCTGCGGCTCAGCAGCAGGTAATTAACAAACTCTTATTGACCCAGCTGTGCAGATATTTACAGAGCAAAACAATGAAGTTAATCTACAACAGTTCATTTCAAAGCACAAAATAAAAATACTGTTAGTATGGGGGAAATATTTTCAGGATACTAAGCTGGTATCAAAAACAAGAGAACAATACAAAAATTTTTAAAAGGCTTAGAAAACACAAATGAGCCATAAGCATCTTTGTACTTATATTTAAATCTTAAAATATACTGATATCTGTAATCGCAATTTCTTATGACAAGGAATTAGCTGTCCAAGCAATCATTTTGATCCAGAACCAATGCATTATTAAAAAGAAAAGAAAATAGGTTCCATAATGGGTACAATACATTGTGACAGAAGGAAACACCATTAAGTCTGAATGCCTTCTCCTTTCATGCTGATTATGCAGCATATTTCTTTCACTGTTCAGTCACATGATACTATAACAGATCCTTAGTTTACGTTTTCCCATGAACTATTATTGTTTTCAACAATAGTGAAATATTGCTTTGTATTGGCCATTCTAGGAAACAAAAGTCTGCAAAGTAAAAAAGATTCCTATTTATATACAACATAGTACCATTGGTTTAAAATAGATCATCCAGATACTGCTGTATTTAACTGGATGTTTAATTTTTCATTTTCTTCTCATCATCAGTATTATCAATACTGGAGTTGTCTATAAGGCAAATATCACTGGAGTCTAGGTGCACTTTACAGTCATTAGGGAAATACTAAATATCTTTACTTTTGCAATTGTCAGCACTATATGAGTCCGTTTCCTGAGTCAGGGTCAGAGCTAGCAGATTGCAACCAGTGCCAGGGAGATGGACTGGATGACCTCATGCAGTCTTTTCCATCTATTCTGTCTTTGATTCTAAGGTAAGATCTCTTTGTCCATTAGAAATACTAGATCCAGTTTTGCAGGGCTAAATCATTTCTTCCTCAGGCACAATTCTCATTGATGTTAGTGGGAGTTTTGGTGTCTGATTCAAGTTTGAAGGATTTAGCCCACAGTTAATCGTGTTCTTAAAGGCTAAAGTCAACTTCCTCAAATTAAAAACTAGTATCTCTCAATTACTATATAAGGCTGTACTTAAAGAACCTTGATAGCTCCAGTTAGCTTCCCCGGAGACTTGTAGGGGAGTTTTGTAAAGGAAAGGTGTCTCCATTCCTGAGATGAGTCAGTCTCTTGAATTCTTTGTTAGACTGATGCTGAAACGAATGTACAGAAATGATTTTGCAACATTTAAACAAAAATAGTTTCTGATTTTTAAAAATCTTTATTAAAGGAGCCACATATTTTAACTGTAGATCAGACATCAATATTTTGCATTTATCTTCTTGGCTATCAACCTCCAATATTTTCAGAAACAAAATGTAGATATAGATAGTTCAACAAATACCATGTTCCTCTTGAATAGCCTTGTGACCTTTCAGTGCTGCCACTTCCCCATGCACTTTCAGTTATGGAAAAGATAATTTATTTCTGTATGGTCAAATGCCTTCTCCACTTCTAAAGAAGGCATCCTCAGCGCTCCCTGCATTGGGCTGATCAACTGCAAGTTGAACAACATGCATTTATTTATCCCTCGGTTTTCTACTGACAGTCAGTAATCCTATGACTCCAGGTGCTGGAACTTTACAAAAACCACTGAATACCAAGAGACTTGTGATGAAATCATAAGAGTTGGGAATCTCCAAACATCCTGCATGGGTTGACCCCTGAGACTGCATGGAGTCCCAGTGGCTGCAGGGCTTCACATTGGCACAGTGGTCTGATCATATGGAGCTCACTGAGGGATCAGGGCCAAAGTCAGGAATGCAACATAGGATGACAGTCAAGGGAAGCAGCAGAAGCACCAGTGAAGGAGGTACATCCACTCAGCTAGATACAGTATTTGCCTAGTTTTACAACAGGCTACATAAAAAGCACTAGCAAAGTCAGTACAAACTAAAATTTCATAGACAATGATTTGTTTATACTGCTCTGTATACTATACACTGAAATGTAAGTACGGTATCTATATTCCAATTGAGTTATTTTATAACTATATGGTATAAATTAGAAAGTAAGCAATTTTTCAGTAATAGTGTGCTGTGACACTGGTATTTTTATGTCTGATTTTGTAAGTTTTTAAGTGAGGTGAAACTTGGGGGTACACAAGACAAATCAGACTCTTGAAGGGAGTACAGTAGTCTGGAAAGGTTGAGAGCCACTGGTCTACACAAACCACTTAATGTGCAGTATGACATTACATTTGGTTTGAGCATTGGCCTGCTAAACCCAGGGTTGTGAGTTCAATCCTTGAGGGAGCCACTTAGGGATCTGGGGCAAAATCAGTACTTAGTCCTGCTAGTGAAGGCAGGGGGCTGGACTCAATGACCTTTCAGGGTCCCTTCCAGTTCTATGAGATAGGTATATCTCCATATATATTTAACAAATCACACCCCCGTAAAACGCATCACCCCACCATCTAGACAAGCCCATAGTTTCACACTCATCCTACTTCATACACACTACGCTACAAGCCAGATTTTGCTCTGTTACTCCACTGAAATCAGGTATAATTCCACTGAGGTTAGTGGAATTATTCTGAATTTACATCAGTTTAACTGAAAGAAAAATCCAGCCCCTGATCATGCCTGATAACATCAAGGTCACTGGGTGTGCGCCTGTCTATCTGTCTACCTACAATCAAAGAGTCATTACGCACATTGCCACTTCATAATCTAAGTGTAGGGGGAAACTGGTGATCGCGGATACCATTGTCTGCTAACTATTGGCGATGCTGTTTTGTGACACTCACGGTATGTGAAAGTATACCTGTGAATTGAGTTGATCTAGAAAAACTAAGCTAAAACACAAGGAGCCAGTTCTTGCCCTGGGCTGAGCAGAGGCATGCTGGGGAGAGAAGATGGTGGTGGGACCTGAGCTGATCACCTTAGCAACAATATGGCAAGATACCGAACACTCAATGGAGTGCTACAGGACTGGCTACTGTGCATTGAAGTGCTACAGCCCCAAGGGCTGCTGGTCAGGGATGCAGCTAGGTCTTGGCCAGATACCACGTATGCTGGAGGAAGGTGTGCAATCTTCTCCTTTTTTTAAAGGAGAAGCAGTGTGCAACCTACCACATAGTCATCCCAGTCACCATGAGCAATCCTGCCTGCCCAATCATACCATCAGAAAGTAAAGGCAGGATATAGACCTAAATAAGCTAATCAGTAAGGATGGGCAAATCACTGGAGATAAAATTAGAATGGATTCAAGTCTTGCCCAAAACCCAGATCAAACCCAAATTTTTCTGATGTTCAAAGAATCCAATCAACTACTTAGTGCACCTCTTCACATCCTGGTATTGATTGGAACTCAAAAGACAGCTAGAAAGCCTGTTCTGGCCCAGCCAAAACCACAAAGCACTGGAAGTCTCACACATACTGACCATGCAAATTTTCCAGACCAAAGACACTAAACCAAGCTTGAATAAGTATTCAAACATTTGGATGTCTGACTGAACTGATGAACCATATGAAGTTTGTCCAGCTCTAATAATCAGGACTATTTATGATTTCCAGTTTTAAAATACACAAGCTGGCTCCGATCTCTACATCATGAAATGTATTGTTTCAACTTAAGTCCTTTAGCATTTCAAATCATTTAAAGTCAGATGTCATCTGTTCTGTGAAACACTGCTAAGGCCATTTCTTTGTCTCTTAAATCCTCAGAAAATGTGAGCGCATTTGAAGAATGCATATCACCATTTATGTGGAATTGTATAATGCATGCAATGTGGTTATGTCCCAGTACTATTTCAAAGGCTTTTATATTGTTTTGTTTCACTTAGTACATAGATGTTTATCATACATCTCAGACTAAGCAACGCTGATGTAATCATGACTGATTCTTTTCTGAATATAGCCAAAAGCATTAATTGCATGAATAAGAAAACCCGTGCATATACTTACGCCACAATACCAGAGAGGTGAAACATTTCTGCAGTGAGATAGGATAAGTAACTGTACAGGAAGACAAAGAGGGGTTCAATTACACGGATATTCTTGGTAAATCGTGTGGTAAAGGCAGCAATCATCCCGAATAAAAGGCCTACCAAGACCCCTCCTATTCCAACCACAAAAAATTTCCCAATTCCTGCAAACACATCCACAGTTTTGATCGTTGACATTTCGCAAAAGGATCTAAACAGCTTGTACAGCACCTAGAAGAAAAATAAAAGGAAAAAGAGAGAGAAACAAACATTAGCTAGAGATGACCGCAGGCAACAGACACACCATTAAATGTTTGTGACACTTCTGCCGATGTGATGAAATGCTTCCCTAGTGTTGTGACAAAGACACTGTGTTCTTGTTACCAATGGGTTTTGCCTCATAAGTACATCATCTACCCTATGGCCCTGCAAGGATTTCCAAGAAAAGATAAAGCAGCCTAAGCCTTGGCTCTTGGGGCTTCAATGGATGTGGGAGGCCCTACTAGGAGCTTGGTCAGGTGTAAAGGCATACAGTTTCCTCACGGGCTGCCCTAGACCCCCTGCGGATCCCTGGGGAATAACAGGGTTTCTCCACGGCCTACCACATGGGCGACAAACCCCACCCTCCCCATAGAATGATACAGAAGGGGTGCTCTGCAAGATCTTCATGGAGATTTTCTCCCTCTAAGTCTCCACTGGAGATTTGTTATATGAAAGAAACTAGCAATAAGAATTTGCCTGTGGGATAAAACGTCTGAATTTAATGGTTCCAATTAGACTATGAAGCTCACCCCTCGCTCATATGAATGAACGGGGGGAGAGATGAACTCCTACCTTTGCTGCTGCTCCATGAAGGATTATAAATACAGACACATTGATATTGTATATCTATAATCAAAGCATTTAAATACATACTATTTCTCACTATCTTCCTTTTACTCACATGCCAGTGCAGTTAAAATCCTAAACATTAACAGTAACTCCATCAAGTCAAATTTTGGTTGTACATCAGGATGTTGATGCAGCCAGTGATACCAGCAGTCTTATACCAATCACTGAAAGCAATGAGGGCACTATCATGAGTGGCGAATCTGGTGTACCAACTTTCTGGCATGCAGATAGGGCCGGACCCAATGCCCGCTGAAGTCAAGGCAAATTATTCCATCGACATCAATGGGCTTTGCAACAGACCCTGAATATTCCTGAAGTGGGGAGCTTTGCAGAGATGTCGGACCTAAATATCTTCCTGCAAGTACTGGCTGTTTATTAAAATGGACAATTTCATGCTAAACTATTTCTATAACCCAAATTTGATGTAGAAGTACTGGGGGTAACAGGTCCTGATTTTTTATTCTCCCTTTTATTTACAGGGAAATTAAATTGTTGAGAAATAGACGTTAAATTAGTGTTTTCCTGTCTAGAATTCTTCAGTGTAAAAGAGTACCATATGCAGCATAAAAAACACTGCGTAATATAAAGTGATAGGCAGTGCCTGACTCCAGCTGCAGAATCTTATTTTGAACCCACCTGAAGAAATTGGCATTACTGAGTCAGCATATTAGATCCAATCCTGTATTCCTCAATGCCCAAACTTCACAAGAAACAAAGGAGTGGGCACATTAGATAACAATAGAGACACTTCATCTGATAAGCTTTATTTATTACTATAATGTATTGAGTGCTGATAGTCTGCTCAGCATTGTACAAATGTGAGGATGTTTCCCGCCTCAGGGATCTCACTATTCAAGGGCTAAAGTGTGCAGTCTTTACGCACCCTGGTGAACACTGAAGTCAGTGGGACTGCTCTTGTGTAAAAGCTCACCACTGTATACATGTTCACTGTTATGTGGACCCTACGACCTTGATCCACAGCCTTCTGGCATCAATGGAAAGTCCCCCATTGAAGTCAGTGGGCTTTGGTTCAGGCCCTAAATGAGTTCAGAATGGGATTCTGCGCTAGAGTGGAGAAATTTTTATATTAATTTTTATATTAAATAAGTCATTTTTTAAATCAGGGAACAGGCTTAGATTTTGGTCCTCAGAAGATGGGACACAAAGGAAAGTCACTCTTGTTATTTTAAATAAAGTAACTATTAAGAGGATTGGGGTTTAGTTCATAGTAGAAAGACGAAGAAGGTACAATATTAACAGATTGTCCTCTCAAAACATGTCTGCTCCTATTATGACAATGCAGCAAGTGTCAATAAAAACATTTTAAATAAGTAACAATTTTAGGGCCTGATCCTGCAAGGTGCTGAGCTGGCTTCAAAGAACACTTTATAGATTCACAGGTTTGAAGGCCAGAGGGACCATTATGATAATTTAGTCTGAACTGCTGCATAACTCATCCCTGAGAGCGGCTGATTTCAATGGGAGCTGAGGCAGTTCAGCCCCAGAATCATGCTTTCTTGTAGCCAATAATAGTAGCAACAAGAGACTTTTGATTTACTTTTTAATTATAGTTTGTTCACTGGAAAGATTCCCCTCCCTCCCCCTGCCCCTTGTGCCAATCTAATTCCAATATTGATGATGTTTCTGAAACAAAACCTGTTAGGCTTCTCCGCAAATTTACTTTTTCTCTTCATATCTTAGTGTCTTCATGTGCACATACGGGCTCTAGGGGAATGTTACTGAGAAAAGACTGTAGATACTACACAGTTATATGTGTGCAATTCTACACTAAAAAAAAACTTACACTACTGTAATCACCACTGCTTGCAGCTCCACAACATCCCTGTAAGGTAGGGAAGTGCTATTGTCCCCATTATACAGCAGGGGAACTAAGGAACAGAGAGACACCAAGGGACTTGCCCAAGGTCATACAGGAAGTCTTTGGCAGGACAGGGAATTGAATGTGAGTTTCCTGAGTTCCAGGCTAGCACTAGCCACAGGACCATCCTTCCTCTGTACACTAAATACCAACATAAGGGATAGTACTTACCACTGTAACAGCATCATTTAGGAGCGATTCTCCAAAAACCAAAATGTGAAGCTTTTCATTGACATGTATCTCTTCAAACACAGATAACACTGCTACAGGATCCACTGCAGCAATCAGACTGCTAAACCAGAGATTATGGAGCAACGATATATCCTGCAGGTGAAAGGATTTCACTTGGCATATCCCATACAGTGAGAAGCCAATCCCAAACACATTCCATATAGTTCCCACTACAGCATACAGAAGAATAGTCCCAATGTTCTCAAAAAAGGGACGGCTGGGCATGAAGTACCCTGCATCAAGGACTATAGGTGGCAGTAAATAGAGGAAAAAGATATCACTGTCCATGACTGGTGGGGACTTGTCATTTAAGCCATAGATGATTCCTCCCATGATGAGCCCCACAAATATCAATAAGCAGCTTTCAGGCACAACTGACGGCAGCTTGTTAAACAGATGAAATGCTGGTGAACAGTAAAGAGATGACATCATTATCCAGAATCCGCATAATATGTTGACATCATCATTTCATCACACTTTTTTATAATACAAAAGAGGAATCGCTCCACATTGTCATTTTTAGCAGAGAGCATTGTGGGGTGTGAACTGATGCTGTTTATCATAAATAATACTTTTCCAACTTAATACCAGTAGGATTCTTTAGGTGAGCATGAAGTGAATTTAAAAAAAGCTGTAAATGTTAGTAAAATGAAAAGCTAATAAATAAATAGCATCCTATAGCACCTTTCATCCAGGAAGGTCCCAAAATGCTTTACAGTTTTATATACTCTGTTGAAACACAGCCACATGTGGGGTGAAACACAGCCATCTTGCTACACCACATCAGTAGACAACATTTTTTTAAAGAGAAGCTGAAGAATAGCATATAGGATTCAAAATATGAGGGAAAATTTAGGTAGGTGAAGTATATTTACCTAAGTTGGAATTTGGCTAGCACGCCTCTAATTTTGCCAAAAGTGCCAGGAGATTTTTAATAACCACACTTGGCATATTCCTCAATTCATCACAACAAAAGGTTAAAATCTAAATATTTTAGACAACAGTACAGTAGGCACTGAAAATAATCTACCTAAAATAAGTATACGTGAAGGAATTCAGGCTAACAGATGGCGTAGGGTCTAAATAGCATACTCTCTTCAGCACTACAAAAGTGGAGAGCAACAGTTCTTTTTTTAAAAAAATTGTGTTCCATTTTCCAACTAATGTTCTTTGTAAGAGATAACCTTCTTATTAATTATAAAGGAGGCCATTTTAATATTCACTAATCATTAGCTCTTTAAACAGTTAGAATACAACATTGTGAAAAGTGAGCTCAGCACCTCCGGACAAGCGGTGCATCCAGCTACTTTGCACAGATCTAGACTTTAAAGAGAAATTCATACAATACAAGTCATGAAAAGAAATAAACTGAAATAAACCAAACTGAAATGGAAAAATTAGAAAAAAATCTTATTATTCATTATTTGTATTGTCTGTTTGTATTACCAGAACTGGGCCCCTAGAGTACTAGGTGCTATACAGACTTAAAACAAAAGACTATCTCTGCTTCAAAGACCTTACAATGTAAATAAGCATCAGATATTTCATATTTCTGAATAATTAAATTAAGGTTAAGAGGCTTCTGCAGTACTAATGGATTTCATAGCCTGTATTTATCATTTCCCTTCTTATACCATATTACTCTTAGGCCCAAATTATTCATTGTGATGGGCCTGATCCAACCC